ATGATGTGGCACAGTCAGGTTGGCTGCAGGGACAGAGGCAGGAATCAGATATAGACAGCCACGCACTCAAGCACGCCCTGCTGCGTCTTGCTTTCAGTCTCAAGCTATTTCAGATGTTATTGATGTGTTCGCCAACTGGGAGCTCTCTAAACAACTACCCTGCTGCAACAGGTTACAAGTCCGGCTTCCCGCTCATTAGGCTCTAATTGATTGTAATCTGGCCTTTGAGATGTACTGGCCCGCTATGGGGTTGTTCTGCACATGTGAGTGCCCCCACTGTCCCTTCTACTTGTCCACCTCACTCACCAGCAGGGTCTGGAGTACAGACACAATTGGCCCTCTCAGATGGAATCATTAAAGCGGGTGGGATAGCATGAGCCCTTTCATACATCAGGCCTCTGTGGACCAGCTTGAGACCAGGGACAGTGGCCACTCTGCCGGCCCAGTGGGAGAGCCCCATCCTGGGCAGCCTATTGTTGGCCTCACCCCTCGACTGGCTGCCTGCAGTTCTGGCTGCATTGGCTTGATTTGTATGCCAAGGTCCTAGACTAAAGGCAGCCATGCAGGGGAGCTGGGTCAATATTGGTTTTGAGAGCTGGAGGAAAAATGTCAAAATGTTAAATTCTATTGACTTCCCCCCACTGTTATTTGTTTCTGTGGCCAAAGGCCTAGTGGGCCATTAGTGTAAACAGGGCTTTGTCTTAGGGCTCAGCTTCCAGCAGGAGGCTCATGGAACAAAACCAGGAGATAGAGGCTTTACTCTGGCTTGGAAAAGGCTGAGCTGTGGGGCTATGGAGAGACCTTACAATGACAAAGACAGAGATACAGAAAACAAGCTGTTTTGATCTTCTTTGACACGATAAAAGTATGTCTGCCATCCCTGAAACGATTGTTTCAGGCTCTTTTTATTTTTCAATTTAGGACAATCTGTGCAAGTAAATAAATGCACTAATATAATCATGCACTATGTACAATATCAAATGATTAACATAAAAATTACACTATAACATGTTGTGAAGTCAAAAATACATATAAAGGGTTGAGGTGTCCTATGTGTTTCAGGATAACATTTAAAAGACTTTTCCTCTCAGTCCTTCTTTAGAGGTCCATGGGGTAAAAGTGAAAAGCAGCTGGTTTACAGTGGTGCATCCCTCTTCCTCTTGCCCTGAGCTCTCTCTTGTCTCTTTCAGCCCTCTGGAAATATGGGATTCTCTTTCAAATCGCTTCAATTAACATGAAGTCATAAAACCGTTCCTCTTGAGTGTTTTCACACCCCGTCTCCTTTTGCTTTCACCCCAGTCCTCCCTGCTTTCTTTTACCTATATCCCTCTGACTTTATTAGGTGGCAGGCTTTTGTCATGCTGCAAAAAGTCACTTCCTCTGAGAGTAGACAGGGAGGGGCCATGAAAACACTGAGGAGAGGCAAATAAAAGCTTTAAGGGTGAAATCTTTTACTGAAAACTGTAAAGCATTTTGTAAAAGGTAGCCTTTTATGTAGCCCGCAGAGACCCATGCTTCCACCTAGTAACAAACAAGTATTACTAAATGAGTATTTTCATCTTTATGCAATTTACTTTTACATAGTTATTATTTACCTTCTTGTGTATGTAGGGATACTGTGCTAATGACTACCTTAGCACACTGTCAAACTGAAAACAACACAAGTGAAATCACACATTGCTGCAAGGTGACACATTTCTCCCTTTTTACACCAGAGGACTAACAAGCCCCTCCACGTCACAAGCAAACATTATTTTTATTGACTAAGTCGTCTGTCATTGTGTGCAGACAGTAAAACAGATTCAACAGAAAAAGCAAATAAAAATCTTTCAGCTGCAGCTTAAAATTCTGGAGGAAAAAAGGCATAAGCAAAATGTTGGTGTGCACTGTGTGTGTATGTGAGTTGATCTGTCCAAAAGTACTTGCTCTGTACAGGTCAGTGGGTTTGTTGAGTCTCCTGGGACCTGAATGACCAACTGGACAGGAGCAGACCGGCTCTGCTGCCATGGCAGACAATAGCTCTTTTCATGTTGTGAGTCTGCAACAGCACTACGATGAAGCACCACCCTCAACACGCCTTTGTGCTTCTTCCAACAGTGTAATATTGACAACACATTGTGTGATTTTACATTGCTTTACAGTCTTGATATGGTATGGTGTATGCAGAGGCAGAGAGGTAAACACACAACAGGAGCTTCTTCACATACACTTGGACTTGCGCAAACACACACTCTCACACACTGCACTGCCTTGACCTCCAGCTCACAGTGATCTCTCTCACCTCTGTGGTGTCTATGTTACACCACTAGGATGTAAATTTAAGACAGCGTGTTAGGAATAAATTCACACCCTGAGCTAGCAATGTGAAAAAGACTAGAATTGGTCAGATTGACCTGTCCAGTCTGTGACCCTGCCTAAACAAGGTCAACAAATAGATGGCCTACAGCAGAGATTTACAGTTAAAAGGAGGCATAGTGAGTCAATGATGGCCCAGTTTCAAAGATGTGATTGGGTTTATAAAGGTTTAAACTGTTGTTGTTGTTGTTGTTTTTTTTTTTTTACCATGTCCAGTATCTACAATCTGGCTCCAACTCAGAAGATGATCTTTACCTTTAACATGAGTCAACAAACTGGAGGATCATACATCTTGTTCCCAAAGGCCAGTGTACCCCTGCCAACAAGAGGGTGAGCAAGGCACCATTTTAATCTGGACCCTGACCAATAGACACCACTAAAAATTCCAATTTCAACATACTGGGCCTGTAATATGAGGGAGGAACAACTTTCTTAAAGTTTGCCAGTCTGCACGTTTTGGAGTGCTGAGATTATTTACATCAGCTGCAGGGCGAATCTCACCTGATAAGACGCTAAAAAGAGAGCTAAACAGTGACACTAGCCTGAGGTAGCTTTTAGGTGTAAGGTGTTAGGTGATCATAACCATTAGTCGGACCGGACTATTTTGATCATCTTTTATCTTTAAATACAACAGAAAACATCAGTTTGTCTTTAGGAACAGATGAAGGTTTGTAAAACTTTCCAAACCGACTACGTGTGTCACAACTGAACCAAAGTTGCACACTTGTACTCCTGAAGACATTCTGGTATCAGTATGTCAATTTCAATCTTCAGATATACCTGACATCTGTTAGTCTGATCATATCTGACATGGGACAAACTTTCACTCTCCATCTGGTGTGGTACAAAGAGGCATTGGGTTAGTATGAGCATTACCAATTTAACTTCAATACACAAAAGCTACACCTCCAATGGTACAAATAAGAAAAGCATCAATCACTGCTTTGCACACCGGAAAGAAATGTAACAGTTTTGAAACAAGAGGCCAGTGCGGTCACAGCCCTGCCTCCAATCCTTGTTTCAACCCCGCATACGTCAACAAACGACCCACAATTCCCTTCAGTAAGGTTGACTTTGCATGAACATATTTGCTCATTGTGATTGCCAGCTTTCTGCCAGCCCCTTCTGCTGAGAGAGTGAGCAAACATGTCCCTCTCCCCTGAAGACACGCTGTAAATCAAAGACTGAAAGACGCATGACAAAAGGAGGGAGAAAGAGCCGTCAGCAAGGTAAAGAAAAGTTGGGTGAAGTTTGAAGGCTTTGACGCTGAAACTGACAGAACAAATGGACTGTATTGGTTTCCACTGCTACTGATACAAGTAGTTTACTTTCGAACAGCCAGACAGTTGAAGTAAACTGCAGTAGGCTGCAAATATAAATGGGAAGAAAAGTTACTTCTTAGGAACAAAAAAAAAATTCATCAAAGGCTTGAACAGTGAGAAACAGGATTGGGTTTCCTTACTCTTGACACCTCTCAGTCAGACAAAGTCAAATAATTCAAAACCAGCCAACATGTTGGATAAAGTCATGGTCTGCTATGTGTGTTGCCTGGGGAGTTGTTGAACAAAAACCTAACAAGACAAGTCTTCAACACCTGACACCTCACTGTGAATGATCCCCTAAAGAGTGCACATCCTCTGTACCAAGGCCAAATCAACTGAGCCATTTACACACTCCACTCTGAGATGGTTTAATGAGTCTTTTCCTTTGATTTCCTTCTGCATGTCAAGTTTAAGTCATATATATTAAAGCTGGGATAAATTGCAGGTTCAGTCTATGTTTTACTCAAGCCTCACACTCTTGAAAATTCTACATGTCAGCTGTGAGGCGTGGATGTTTGAATGCAAACCAAACCCATTTAACCCCAACTTACAGCAGATATTTTTCCCTGCCAAAGTCAGGATGCCTTTAAAGCAGGTGATGATCTGAAATATTCTGAGCATGTCAGAGGTCGATAACATCATGGTTGAACACAGTTGTGCTGCTTTTACTCTTTTCTGATCACCTGAGTTGCCAGTTTTACTCGACTTATGAGTCCTTAGACATTTTGTCGTAATATAAACCCCAAACTAAAGTCATTACTAAAGATTCTTCCTCTTCCACCTGCACATGCAACCCACCTCCACCCAAACTTAACAAGAGTATTTTTAATGTGTCTACAGTCTGTCAGAGTCAAGTACATGAAGAAAAGGCAAATAAAGAAAATGTCAGAACCTGATTGTCCTGAATGGTCTAAAAGTTGTCAAAAATTCATTTTTTTAAGTTAGTTCCTCGTGAATTTTAACGGTTTATTGCTTATTTAGTGCCCTCAGATTTACATCCCAAAGAGTTTCCAAAGCATAAAACACAACCAAAATAGCACTACTCTTATATTTAGACTGAGCACAGCAGAGGATGGCCAGGGATGGGATGACATTAGTCACCTGGAAACTTCAGCTTTGTTCCTCATCCCCCAAAATGACATCATGAGGAAGGACACAAAACCCACCGAGTGCCCAGGAAACAGCTGCCCGACTATTGTTGTCTGGAGTTTTGGTTTATGGACAACATGAACCTCTCAACAAAGCCTAGTCTCATGCAGATGACAATCGGCTAAGTAAGAGGCAGAGTGAAGGGCAGGCAGTGTTAAATGAAGTGCAATGTCAGCCTTTTACTTGTGTTTTTATTGGGCAGTCAAGTGGATGGTCGTCACTGTGGGAGGCTGCTGTAAAAGAGGAGGGAGGATTATTTCACACGTAGGTGCCTATCCTGTTATCAGGTCCATTCAAAGTAATGGAGGTAACAGGGTCCATGCTCTCACATATTGGCAGGCACATATACGAAGGCTGTATGTACTCATGTTATTGTATGTCTTCTGTGTGGTTGTTTGATGCTGAATAAGTCCCAGATGAAACTCCAGGAGCCCTTCGTTTATAATTCACATGACATGTCTTTCAAATTCGATTAATTTCTGGGTTTTTGTATCTGTAAATGATTTCTGCTTTTTCCCTTTTTTTGCTTCAGTTGATGGTTTAGTTGAAAATTCGTCAGAATTTTCTGCAGATTGATTGAGTCAAAAGAAGTTCTCCAGAATCTGTAACCAGGGTATGATCCCTTTCAGCAGTCTGTTCTTCATAGGTGCAGTCTGTAGTTTCAAAGGAGCGCATGCCATGAAGTCGGAGATTGATGATTTTCCCTCTTCTTGTTGACTATGTGGCAGAATCGATGGCAGAAAAAACAAGATACTAAAGAAACTAAAATCATTACAACACTTACTACTAAATTAGCAACACTTTGTTGTGTTAAAACATTAAGACTTTTTCCCTCCTCTTGAAATACAGCAGCACATGGTCTGCAGGATAATGTGGTGTTGTCCTTCCTGGCCAGCTTGTTACAGCCATCTTTGTTCCCCTTCACTGTATATAATGACAGATTGATACCACGCCCTACTGTATCAGAATATGTAGGGTTTTCCATTATTAATTAAAGCTATTTTTTACCAGTTTTTAGAGTTTATTTGGACTTTCATGCCTTGACCGAGAGAGAGGTAGGACTGTGGAAAGTGTTGGAAACTGAGAAGAGAGAGTGGAAACCATAGACTGCAGTAATCAAAGTCCATATGAACTCATTCATTAAAACTATATGATCATTAAACACATTATAAGCAGCATTTCATGGCTGTAAGTCAAGTGTAAGACAAAAATACTACACAACAACTATCAAAACAATTTTTTCTTTCTCAAAGCATCTGAAATTTTAATTAAAAAAAAAAAAACTTTGTGAATGTTGTCTGTCTAAGGCAGTGGTTCTCAATTCCAGTCCTTGAGCCCCCCACTGTCCTGCATGTTTTGGATGTTTCCCTGCTCCAATACACCTGATTCAAATGATCAGCTCGTTATCAAGCTCTGAAATGGCTTAATAACGAGCTGATCATTTGAATCAGGTGTGGGGCGGGGAAACATCCAAAACATGCGGGACAGGGGGGGCTCAAGGACTGGACTTGAGAACCACTGGTCTAAGGCATCCAGAGGGAAAAGTCAAAATCATGTATTCATGCTGTGCAAAATAAGGTTCACTCTGATCATTTTTTAAAGTTCTATTTTAGCAAATGTGATTTCTCTTAAAACCTCTATAACCTGATAATGTTGGTGTAATGAGTAGTTGATGTTAGACACACCAACTGTGCAGTGGGGAAAGGTGAGTGTTATTTCATAAAGGCATTACTCTTCTCTGTACTGAGGGAGGCACTATTGGATTTGCTGCATCAAGAAAAAAACCTCAGCCCTTTAAACATCTGTCAAGCGTAACCTGGCATATTGTTCTTATGAAATGAAAACATCAAAAAACAAACTCAAACAATTGACACGCAAATTTAAGAGAAAAACTATTTCCTTTGATAGTCTCAGCTTTCAACAAATGACTAAATGTGTTTTGAGTCAGAAAATCTGTAGAAAAAACAACTTGCAGTGCTTATTTCCACACATAATAAAGAAGCTGATCCACTAATCCAGTGCCACAGGTGCACAAATACCTGTGTAAGCAGACTTAATACTGATAAAAGCTCTTGGATGAGGAAAAAAGGAACGAGAAAAGTTCCCACACTTTGACTGTTTTGTTTCTCTGTCCTTTCTTTATTTTTTCAACCCTGCATAAATGTAGCGCAGTGTGCCAGCCATGAATGAAAAAAACAGATGGGGGAGGGAAAAATAATAGACCACAGAAAAACCAACATTGACTCGTGTAACTCACCTGTTGGTTGGAGTTTTTGTTTGGTGTTCATTGAGACAGCGGGCGGCTGTGAGGGCCCCTCCCTGAGGCAGCACTGGTTCCCAGGTAGAGAGAAGAGCGATGGGAGGAGAGTTCCCACCACGCTCCTCAACCGTTCTCACCGCAGCTCATTGGTTGGGCATTGCGTCACCGCTGAAACACGACACTCCAGCAGCGCAGGCAGGTGTATGTGGCTGCAGGGCACAAGGAGCAGGTAAGTGTGTGTGCCAGACACGAGGACAAAGAGATGTGTGAGGAGGAAGAGGAGGGGGGTGATGCGCAAGTTTCACTCAGCTTTGTCATACATTCAAACTCTTAAAGTATCATATGTGTGTGAGACGTCGTTGAGCAGCTTGTGTGTATGTGTTTGGGAGCTTTCACCTCTGCCTTTGTGTCAGGCAGCTGCTCCCACGACCCAGGGACAGGTGTACACAAACAGTAGATATTTTGCCAATACATAGGCAAATTAGTCTTTTGAATCAAATCGTGAAGGTTCTCACAAAACCTTTTCACAATCGCAGTAACCTTACAGAGAGCTGGGGAAGAAAAACAGTCTCTTTTACACTGTCCATCCTAAAAAGGCTGCTGGCACTACAGTCAGACTGAAGCCTAAAACACAAATAGAGGCGTTTTACAGATCATGTCATGAAATCATTCAAATGTCTATGCAGTGATCGTTTCTTAACCGATTCTTTCAACAACCAAAAACAGCAGAAACACTTCCCTTATGCCACTTGAGTGCTAAGATCCTTTTTTTCCACATATCTTCTGACATCTCGAAGTCTACAAAGAGTATAAATCTACCAGTTAGAATGGAAAAATGTATTGACCAAGAAGAAAAAGAAGAGAAAGGGGGAGAAGAAATAGTTTTAGTTTCTCCACTTAGTACAGGACTGAGTTCCAGTTGTGAAACCTAAGCCATAATCAAACATTTATTGGGACACACCTGCAGCATTCACAAAAATAAGGTTGAGTTTGTTCTTGTCTTTTACCCTTTATTAAACTGTGTCAGTCGGTGTGAGGTTCAAAAAGTCAGTCCTGCATTATCTCAGTTGGGACTGCTTGTCTTTCTGATTGTAGTGCAGCTAAACCACGATATGGGTGAACTTGCTCTGCACCTGGGAACAACGTGAACTCCCGGGTAACTTCCTGAAGTCAGCTCTTATCACAGGATATCTCTGCAGCAGAGCACAGTGACAGCTCACTTCCTGGTGTCGGTTTTAACAGGGTATGGTGCTGATCTCCTGCTTGGCACCAACAGATCCCCACCTGGAAACCTGTTTACTGTCACCTCAAACTGACTGACAAGGAGCAATAACAGGTGAATGAATGTTAAACCACTGTCTCTATTTTCCTGAAATAAGATGTTTTAAAATGCAGGTTCCTAATATGCTGCTACTACATGCCTGGTTCATTGAAACATGTTGAGGGATGTAGCATTTTGAACTTTCACAGTCCATCTACAAATTATGGGAAATGCTGTTTAACAAAGAAGAGCAAAAAGTTGCATGACTGTTTTGTACTTCCAGAAGAAGTTTGAGAAGTCCTGTAATTTGCCACGAACCCGGATTGAGGCAGGTAAAGCCAAAGACTACAAGCGTAAACATTAAGCATTTAAGGTGACGTAACAAAAATAATTTAGGTTAACTCACCCTTGATCTTTCCCTATAGTATTCAATTGAAGTGTGGATCATGAGGAAATAAATTTTAGGTTACATGAAGAACAGATTTTTATTGTTTAATTTTTGGTCAAGGGACTGGCTATCCTCACTCCTCTCTCCTTGAAATGTCCATCATGACTCAAATCATGCCAAGAGGCGTATGGGCGTATCTGGAGGGGCTGTCAGGGGGTAGGCATAAACCACCTTAAAAGCTTATTAAGCACCACAGGAGCCACCCCAAAACCCTAATCAATAGCTCTTTACATAGTGCCATATGTGTGCTCATATAAAGTCTCATCTTCATCATAAAGGTCGGGTTATTAGTCTGTAAGTATAAAAAGCAGCAGGATGATGGTGGAGATTTGTCAATACGCAGTTGCTGAACTGCTAAAAAGGGCCTATGGCTGGTTGTTTGCTTGTCAGGGGAGAGAACAGAAGTTTTTTTTTGACATTCATGAAGCAGACTAAAATTCATAGTGATACTTTTCCATGGTATCTTAAAGCAATCAGGATGATCAGCAAAGTTGATGAGTCATGTGTCATCTTATTTAATACCTGAAACTAGTGCCAAAGGGGAGGTGGCAGCCAAGCAGCTGAAGAAACAGCCCTGTTATTACAATTTCCACATCAATAATCATAATGAATGATAAGTCTGACTGTCAAAAGTCAGCAGAGTGAGATGTTTTTGTTGAAAGTCACTACTTAAGCATGGAAAGGACAAGACAAGCAAAGACTGCTTTGTCAATAAAGGGCACCAGAGTTGACATGAACTGTAAGTTTCTTACAGGAGTTTTAAGATAAACTATTTGGGTTGTTAGGCAACAGCCTGCCGGTAGATATGATAATGATATGACATAAAAGCCAAATAAAATGCTAATTATGTGCGTGTGCATGTTCTCTTACAACATGCCGCCCCTGCAAAATCTTGACATGCCCCTGCAGCAGAGTACATTAAAGTGTCAAAGGTAAATCTGCTGTAGTGACATACTGCTGTTTCAGGTTTGGCACTAAATCTGTGCGACACTGTACTCTTTTATGAACACACGGAACTGTTGTTGCATATGCTGGCTGAGTGAGAAACATACCTGCATTAACATACATACATAGGTGCAAATATTTTGTTTTAAAACTATATACAGAGAGCTGTCGCCTCTGGTGTCTACACTGTATGTCTGTATACTTTAGACCAACAATAGATCCAAAATTTTCCCCCAGTCATTGTCTGGCAGGTAAAGGTAGGTTTTAACATTGGATGATGTCAATTTTGCAAGCGATGCTCAAAAATTCTCTCTGTTTTTAGGATTCAACACTTACAGATCTAACAAACACGCTGTCAGGCTGAAACTGACCTTCTTATGATCGTGAGGTTGGAATATCATGGAGGGTAAGATCATTTTCAACTCAGCTGCCAAGCAAGAAACAATCTCTGGATTCATGCACAAGGTGAAGAGTTTATATGGTGCAGGATGCAACATCACATGAGCCAAATGATACTAAGAAACCATAGGCACTTGGCTATGGAGAAGTATGTGATCTTACTGACTCAAGCTACACATGCAGTTGTGAAATACTGAACACTGCTGTGTATTTTTTCAAAGGATTTAAAGAATTAGGTGTTTGTATCTGTGTCTGAACAATTGAGTATGTATGTGTACGTGTGTGCATGTGAACGTGTGCTGGAAGGCGGGTGCCTCTGGCTTCTGCCTCTGTTAATGTGTCAGCCCACAAGCGAGGCAATGAGCCGGGCTGTGTGCCTGCTAGATCTGTGTGTGTAAGTGTGTGCGTGTGTGTGTGGCTGCTGACGGGACCTGTCACTATCAGGCCCACACATCTCTGGCACAGTCTGTGTTGACACTCTGCCCGAGGGGGAACGAGTCTGCAGAGGTTGAGGAGAGCAGCGGTTTCCCACGGCTGCTGCTCTCAGCCTCAGCCCTGCCTCTGCATTCCAGGGCTGCCAGCACTCTGTAAATGTTTGGACAGCCTTGAACAAATAACACACCTTGAAAGGCACAAGCACAGGCGCTCTCTCCCTCTCTGCACACCCCTTCTCTTCATCCGCCTCCTTAAGCTAACACCCCCCAACCCATCCAAACCACAAATCTACCTCCCTGGCAGCAGCCGGGCTACTGCTGCACTCAAACTTTCCCAGCTTCCTTTCCGTGCACAAACAAACACCAACCCGTACTGTGTTACTGTTGTACACTTGCATATATAAACATGCAGACACTCACCTGTGTATAGGTAAATACACAGTCATGCCTACTATTTCCCCACAGCAGTTGTTTTGAATTTTCAAGATAATTTCACATTCACAAACAAAGCCCTGTGGAAAGCATATTTTTAGGATAAAAGTAATTTTTTTTAACAATTGTCTCATGTCACGCATTCAGAGGACTATTTTCAATGAGAAGGTATAAGTAAAAAGTAGATGAAATCCTGATAACTTAATGCCACACTTTAAAGCTTTATATAAAACCTTATATTTATTGATTCAAAAGAGCAATCTGACACTTGGCTGAGCACATCAGCCAGAATCAATGGATGGAAAAACCAAAGAGGAGTTTAGCCAAGTTACCAAAAACTACATTCATGCAGGTAGATCCTGTATTTTACAGTCTAAACTGGTGGGTTTTTAAATCCTTTTTTTGTGCCAGAGCCATTTACTAAAGCAGGCACTGTGTCAGGCGAGATGGGTTCATAATGTTTTATGAACATCGATCGTAATCTTGTCCTTATCTTAAATGAGCATTTTATTGTCTTTTTTGATGTGTTGCCACTACCATAACCTGCCATTGACCCTTTCCCCACAGTGGTCACACTGAACATGTATTTTCGAGGGCAAGACATTTAAGGTTATAAGTATTGCATGTCAAACAACACTGTTACTGAGCGTTAACTGTGGCTTCAGATGAATGTCCAAAATGTTTTGCTGAATTGTCCATTATTGAAATAATGTTTTCTGGAATAATTCCTGTCCATGTTACAGATTTAGTAACACCAACCATATGGTCTAGCAACACCAGTGTTGGGAATCACCAGATGACTCGCAATATGATAGGGTTAAGCTATACAGCAAAAAACAGCACAAAGATGTTTTGATTCACATTGGCATTCAGCCCAACAATCTCTTATTGCACATATACAGTCACCAAGATTTTATATAACCTGCTGTCCACACAACAACTTTAAAAATACAAGACAGAGGGCAGATTTCTTAAAAAAAAAGTCACAACACACACAAGAGATAAAGACATTGGAGCTACTGTGAACCCAAGCATCCATGTCAGTCACAGAACTGTCCGCACAATGTAGCCAATTGTAAGCCAGGCCCTCCCTCATACTGTATGTGAACAGCACATTCATTGGGCATCAGGCTCAACGAGCAGTAACATGGCATGATAATAGCGAGGCTGACCCACTATAAATTCCCACACAACCACCCACACGTGCACCCTGATGTCTGCCAGCAGCTGTGGAATCTGGAGTTCCCTGCTCCCAGTAAATCCCACGAAACATAACGCAGGACAACCTCCACTGCTCTGCTCGGGCAGCAGACGCTCAAACGCGCCTCTGTTTTCATTGCCCGAGGCCTCGGGGTACATATTTCTGTAATTTGGCTTTATGCTCAGCAGTTTTGCAGCTGTGATGACATTTGGGTGTCGCCCCCCTGTTTCTCACGGTCTTGCTGCCAACAGTGCTCAGGCCACTGGTCGTCAGCCAAGGCTGAGGTCTGTGTGTCAGCTCCCACCTCTTGTGTACACATACAGACTAAAAGAAGGTAATTTTCAAAAAAATTAAAAACAAAAACATATAACTGGCTTAAACTGCTGTGGGCTTTTCAACTCCCAGGGTCAGTTTTCCAAACTGTTGCTCTATCGTTTTAGGAGAGGGAGGTTGTCAGGATTAAATAAATAATGCTTTTGTTTTTTTTCATATTTAATAAGGGACATTACAAACTCAATTTGTAATACTAGCATACTACTTAAAAGCTACCTTAAAAACAAGAACAACCTGTAAGAATTGAAAAAGCATTACAAGAAAAAGGCTACCTTGAGCCAAGTCTGCACAAAGTTTTTCCTAAAGAAATGTGTGTGGATGTCATAATTCATAAGCGTTATGTTTGAGCTGTGGACTGAACTTAATGCCCATTAAGATGAAGACTGGATTTGGATTGGCAGCACAGAGGCTGTATGAGTTTCTACTTTCTTTTTAAGTATTACTCAAAATAAGGTCGTGTTATAGCAAATTTAGCAAATTATAGCAAATTTCTTGTACCATACAGGACTGGTTTGGTCAGGTGTTACACCTTTGAAAAAATATTTTATTTACTTAAAAAAAAGTCCTTAGTTTACATTTAGGTGTAGTATTAACAGTGTACAGAGAAAGACAGAGTGTTAGGGACAAGAAAAAGAGACTGAGAAATGTTTGATGTACCTGATGTAAGTTGATAACGTAACTGATGAACTTCAAGCTTTCATGATTTGTGATGATGTTTTTTTAACATCTTTTCAGCCACATTTTGAGATCAATATGTCAGATGTCTCAAACCTACGATTTACCGGCCCTCTGCCTCCCTTCCTCTGGCCAAAAACATAAACAATAAATGTAATGCTAGATTACATAGACTGACTTCGGATTCATTATTTCCTACTTGTTTCATGCCCATTGAAACACCCCACCATATCGACACAATTACATTCAGCATAACTTAAATAATAGCAAAGGTCAAAGGCCAAAGGTTCCTCCATGTACCCAGGTGGGTTCTTAGAGGTCGAGACTGGAAGCGGTGGGACTCTGTGGTTCTTTGGTTGTTAGCGACAAAGATCTCTCTTTCTGAACTGAAAAGGAAAGTGAATGAAGAACACAAGCAGTTTCAAGAAAGACGCACATTGGAGTACTTTTTAGAGACAGACTGATCAATTGTACTGCCGTTTAGTCAAGCTGCTTATTGGCAAGAACAACACAAGCCAAGACCTAGACAATAGAAATAATAGGCATCACATCAGCATTGGTGCCCACAAGGTTCCAATTATAAATTTGTTTGTCTTTTAATATCAAATGCAAAAAAAAAAAAAAAAGGGCATCAGATAAGCAGTTTGTTCCAGCCACTGGCTGATCTGCTCTAACGCAACTGGTATCAGTGTAAAAACAGTGGCAGTCAACCACTTGTATTTTTAAAGGAGTTTGGTGAAGAAGGGATGTTCTGAAGGAGAATGATCTGAAGCATCACTGCTAGACTAAACTAGACACTAGACTAGACACAGTAAACCATGTAATCAATACCAAATTATTTGTCCCAAAATATGCAAAGAATGCCCCTTCAAGATGATGGTATAAATGGTGGCCCCAAGCCAGTTTGACTTCAAGACCCAGACTTTATAGAGCTACACAGATTTAAGATTTTCCAAAACTCAATAACCTGATGTACACACAGCCAACATGATTAAGGATATTGTTTTCCAAAAAAAGTTTAGCAGAAAATCAAATGCAGGTCTTCAGTAGTCATTTAATACATCATATCACTGCTGCAGATGTAACTTCTGAACAAAAGCAGTAAGACGACACAAAGGGAGTCTCACAATGAAAAGGACTAAATACCTCATTTCAGCTTTACAACAACATGACCATTACTGGTCATTCTTGGCCCAAGAAACACTTGGAGCTGGATACTTAGCTGCACACTGAGTAAAACCAGCAAACTCCAAATTCAAGTCGGCAGAGCCAATTTCTTCACTAAAGCAAAGATTTGAAGAACTATCTAACTTAACAATATAGCAAGGTCAACAGTGTAAAGCTATTCTTTATGTAAAATGATGTGAGGGTTTAATTTGGTTGTCCGTGGATAAATATTGATTGACTGATAAGCTTTGTTACTCCAAATAACCACTTGTCTCAGTTAATGGACCTTATGAAATGATTTCCTGAGTAGGAGGGACCCGTAAGCAGGGAGGGGGCAGGTTTGGGTCTCTGGGGGGCGATAATGGTGGGTGTTCCCCACGGCCTGCCCCTGACTCTTCTCAGCTGTCCTCCCGGAAGCCCCCTGGTCCAGCTGCTGCCCATTACACCAGGAATGTGTCCTCGGGTCAGATACCAGGAGGAGTGTGGTGGCACATTAATATCAGAGTGACCACCGGCCCAAACACTTGTGAGTTATTAACATGGCACTCTCAAATCGTTCCCATGCCCCTTAGCGCCCCACCACCCCACCCCTTCCAGTCTGACAGCAGCTGTCAGACTCCATGTTTCCCAGAGTCGAGGAGTGTGTCAGCATGTGTGTGTGGGTGTGTGTGGCTCTGGGTGGGGAGTTTATGGGGTCATGGTATCTGATAAATTGGTCAGATATGCATACCAACAGTTCCTGTTTTGTCTGGTTTCAGCAACTTTTGTCCTGAATCACTTCACACAGCTGAAACTTCATGTCTGAGACAGTGTCTGGGGCCTAACCCTATACATTAGTGTCAGGGTTATTTCACACATACTGTACATATAAGAAAGATTAAAAAATAATTATGATAATAATTTGGAGAGGTAATTTACTGAAGATGCAGAAAGGACAAATATAAAGATTTGAAAACGCAAACCCTACGAACTGTGGTGAAGGGGGACAGGAACTGATTGACTGGATCTGGTATGTAATGCGAAACGAAACATTCAGGCCCATTGATGTGATTCACTTCCTTGGTCTGGACCATCAAAGATATCGGAAGTTACAGCTCTAAGGGGCTTTTGTAAAAACTAAGGAACCACAAGAATTCCTTCATTTTTTCGAGAATGGACTCAGTCTCAAGTTTGAGGTTGAATGTACATCACAGATGCCAGAGGTTCATTTATGTTCTCTGATCGCCCGAATGTGAAACGCGTACGCTATTGTTTCATTGTTTACCCGCTTGATTGGCAGAATCTAAGGACTCCACTCATGCTACTGTGTATGGACCACTGAGTGTGTTACAAGGCCCCAAAAGCTTGTGGACAGCAGTTTTTCTTTACATAGTCTCTCAACATATTCAAGCAGTGAGCACCTGGGAGGATCATTTTGGCCTTAATGATATGGCCTGACAACAAAACAACCCAAAAGGTACTTGAGGAAGTTTTCTGGAGCCTGGGCCTAATTACAACACAGGACAAAAAAAATCGAGCCGCCCAGCACTTAATTGGCTCCTTTTCTTTCATGCTCCTATACATGGCCATTCAATCATGAGATGGAGGCAAACAAAACCCCTGCTCTCTCCTTGACCCAAAACACTCCTACAATTGCCACTGCATGGTCATCTCCAGCTGTAGGAGGACTGCCCTATATTAGGAGACACAAAATAGTCATGCAGCAGTAGGAGACATATATACACAACGGTCATCAGAGGAAAGAAAATATCAAGGATGAAATTATTTCCATACTTATGCATGACATGATATCTACTTTGGTGTCATCTGGATTGGTTTTTGCTGGATAATAGATAGTTACAACAAGATGACAGCAAATGTAGTTGGTTTGTGAGTTTGACCACTTCTCTGATTCAGCAATGTGAGTGGTAGCACAAATAGGGTATATATCAGGATATCAAACTTTGATACAATACAATCAAACAATACTGATAACTGTCTTGATATAATGTGGACAAAAATTATAAAAATTTGGGTTGTTGTTTTGTTTATTGCACTGCTTTGGTGTGCAGTAGAGAAAAAAGTGATTAACCATGCAGATTAACAATGAGAACCTTCAAAGACATCAAGCAGATTAACAGTATTTTGACATAATCCACATCAAAGCCGATATCACCATTATCTTTCTAAATAAAAATGCATTTTACAGCATATCGAGTTAAAGACCAACTAGTGTTCAATATAAATTCGGATGAATGCATTGTGTAGAATAATATAGTTTAATAACAGTTATATCAGAATTTACCTTGTATATTTTCTGTCTATCTTGCTTATTCCACATAGCCGGGCAGAAAGTCCCTTGTGGCAATATTTTACTGGACCTAATATTTTTCCATCTACATCAAGCCATTCACTCGAATTCAGCAATATTGTTTCTCGTTTGTTAGAATTATTTTACTAATAAAAAACAACAATATGATATTGGCATTATATATCAGCCATCAGCCAAACTGCTCTCTTAATATCGGTATCAGCACTGGCTATTGAAGACTGTAATTGGTCAACCACGAATCTGCACACAGTCCTGGTGCAGAGGTCACTTTGCAAATACTTTAGACAACAATGAAAGGAGTGAAATTTCTCATCTTTATCATTCATAACCCAGAGGAAGTGTGAGCCCCAATGTTAGCAGTCAGCAGACAGAAGAAAACATACAGAATAAAGGAGACCAGACCACCATTTATCCCTCTCTTCCGCTCTGTCTGTGAGATGCCTAATACAATGTCAGTATTGACTTATTTTTCAGTTTCACGCTTTCTTGTTGGCAGTGCTCCCTCACTTCACTTTTTCTCTGTCTCTCAACCACCGCTAAACTTTGACACATTTTGATCCTATCCAACACAGAAATAACAGAGATTTTTTAACGTCAAACCATGTGGTGTGGATGAGTATCTATTTTGACAACCTCAAGTGCAAGAAGGTATGTTTTTGTTTTTCTATTTTGACCAAGGCATGCACTGTTACGTCTGCAAAAATGCACATGCAACCCTGCTCACCCTCGTGCACTTAAGTATGTCTTTGTCTTATCCTTATTCGTCCTTTAGTTTCTGTCGGTGTTGTCAAAAATGTGTGGTTGCTCTGCCCTCTAAGGCCTCTGCTGCTGGGGTCATGACCCTGCACACTCACACATGTGGCATCTGCACTGTGGTCGTTTTCTATAGTAGTGCTCTGCTTTGCTAGAAAAACAAGGACATAAACAGCAAAAGATAGCAAAAGGAACTCAGACTTCAGGTGGCCCACTTTTAAGGCCATCATTAAAGACTCTTGACAGGTTCTGGTCACTATTTGTAACCAGAAGGGGTAGCTGTGAAACATGTTAATAGTGGAGAGGAGGTAAAGAGAAACACAACAGTTTAGTGAAGTTTGTGTCTGTGAATCCCTGTGAGAAGACATGCAACACTCAATCACTAATTCAGCTCAGATGAATACCAGACAGACAAATGGAAGAGCTATGAAGTAGTACGTGTGTGAGTGTGAGGCCACCATGTAGGACCCTCTTTTCTCTCTCCTCCTTTCGCACGGCTGCTTCTAATCTCTGACCCCCATCAATAAGATGTATTCAGAGTCCATCAAACAGACGAGCTGCTGCACAGGCAGCCACGCACCGCTGGGGGGAGAACCATGGGAAACGCTCTTAATTGTCCCCGGAACCTTTTTAAAGAATATTAAGCTGCATTAGCCGACCATGAGCCTTTCTTCGCAGGGCTTTCTTCTGGAGAGTGCTACAGCAGCCCACTCAGCCAACAGGCCATTAAACGTGACAGGTCTTTGTGAAGAGCAGAGAGACAAAGTCCCAAGAAAGTGCAGCTAGCAAACCCCGGCATTAAAGAGGGGTGGCTAACAGGTTAGTCCTGCGTCTGGTTTGCATCAAGCTCTTATAGTGCCTCAGCTGCATTAAAGGCTATTTAGCTTCCCACCGGAGTGAGTCTGTGTGTTAGCCATAACTCTGGCATGGCAGATCCAAACAGACACAACACAGGAGGATCATTAGAGGGAGGACTTTCCAACCTCAGTGATGTCATTGCTAGTCTCCTGTGTATCCTCCTGTTGGCAGTACAACAAGTCTCATTTGGTGGAAAACACCTACGGTAACAATATAGTAGTCCAACAGCTTTACCCTATGTTTAACATGACTTTTACAACCGATGATGTTTGTATTAAGCCATTTTAAGGGTTTTAGATAAATAATGCATGATTTGAGAAATCTGTCAGATGTATCTGCCATCATATAAGAAGTCAGTGGAGACAAAAGGTTTTTAAATCAGTACATAACCAATATTAAAATAATATAAACAGAGTACTCTTACTTAAGCCCAGAGGCACATACCTCCAATTTAAAGAAAAGTAATTTGCTAAATACCATGGAGTGTAATCAAGAAATTTGCAAATATTTTGTTTATTTGTGTGAAAGGAAGATTTTCAGTTTGTCAAGTTATGGAAAAGTATTTCTGAATTAGGAAATTTTTCAAACAATGTTGAAACATTTTTAGAAACTTTGATACAGCCTGTAATTTACGGAGTAATTATTTTTGTCTGAGTCACTATTTTTACATATAGCCACAGTAAATAAAAATCAAAAAAATCCTGAGCAACAAAGCAGTACTTTATGTGTGAAATTGGAGGAAAAGAAAGTAAATTTGATAGTTGAATTTCAAAAAACACTATCATATTTTTATAAAACGAGTTTCACAGCCCAAACAAGCTTATATCTATCTCCTCTATCTAATCTCTCCCCATACATCACTGATTCACATCCCATGTTAGAGTGAGGATAGGGGAATAGTGGGAGGTACAGTGGACAGCATAACCCTGGCTCTGCCTTCTCTCTCCTCTTACTAATGTCTTCCTACTAAGCTGTCACTTTGTATCTGATATTTATGATTTTGTTTTTATCCACTCCATACACAGTGGTATTATCTGCAGCCAAGCTACTTGCATAGTTACATACAGTAACAACATAACATGTAAAAGTTGAATCAAGGCGTTAAAACAACTCTTAGTTGACTGACCTCAGTGAAACTCTGTTTAATTACAGCTTCAGCTGTGAGAGACATGGACCAAACAATATGTCTTCATTTTTTATGATAGAGGGGACCCTGGACCAAACATCCTTTAAGGAAATGTCCTCAATGGTGCCTGGATGGGACAGATCATGTATTACGTAGGGTACAGATCTGATGTATTCAACTACATTAACCATCAACTCAGAGATTAAAAATTCAAAGGTGTTACCCCTATTTCAGTATTTAAGCTATCTCTGAGTAAAAACAATCATAAAAGCAGAAAGTCTAATACAAGACCTAAAACAGATGTACAAAACCATAACTGTTTGAAAAAGAGAGACCAAATGAAAGAGTGATCTCACTTTTTCATTCCCTTTCCTGCGAGAGGAGAGGATAAAACTGGTCTCAACAAGAGCTAACGAGAAAGAAATACTGCCAGTTGTTTCCCATCCTGTCTCTTCACTAATAAACAGGGACTTAAACACATTTACTTCCCAACAGATGTTGCATCAACTGATCTTTAACAAACAGAAAAGCTCAATTTCTTCTTTTGTTTCCCTCATTCTGTGTCTAAACTACTCGCTGTGACCTTGTGACATCATTACTCACAAACATCAGCAGACGTGGTCGCTTTCTTGGCTCCTCAATGGCATATGTTACACAGAATGAGCCCTCCATTAATCAAAAGCAGTTAGGCGCTAAATGGGCAGATCCTGGACAAGGAGCCAGGAAGACAGACACCACCCCACCCCACTTACCCCCACCTCACCAACCTCCACAGTTCATATCAGCCCACTGAAAGAGAATTCATCACCTTGTCATCCTCTGGTCATAAAAAGGCTGAATATCAGTGTAGGCTGATGGGATTGGGATGAATGTGTTGGTGTGTCGATGATGCGTAGAGCACCGGTGGTCAAGAATGGGCGTGGCTTTCTTGTCGGCAACACAAAGCCGTTGCTGTGCGATCAGCTCGGTGTAAAATCGGTGCTGTGCGGCCCTCACAAAGGCGCACAAAGGCAGGGGGCTGGTGGCTGGGGCGGGAGTGCAGCGACACAGCTGTGAGCAGAGCCTACACATCCCCGCTCAATATGGGCCCTCCTCATATCTGTAGCAAGTTGGCCCCTGCTTCCGCCTGGTCCCAGGACAATGGAGGCTCTCGGCAGACCCCTTTGTTACAAAAACTTTTTGAGAGTTCCCTTTTAGCCTAAATCTTAAATATTTCATTAGGCTTCTTTCCCCCAGCTCCCAGTCTTTCATCACCGTTCTGAAGAACTAGCCAGGACCTCTATTTTTTATCCCCTACACTTTGGTAACGCCCCCAGTGCTACAAAAGAGTTTGTCCAAGACCTGCGTTCCTTGAAAACAACAAGGGTTTAAAATAAATCTGAAGAAAAACATCTGTTACAGCCTTTGGAAATTAGGATGAGCACCAACAGTGCAAAAAATTACAACATGACATGCTTTCTGAGCCACAGAATTTACACTCAACAGCCACTTGGCATTAAAACCTTTTATAGCTGATTTTCATACCTTTGCTTTGATGTCTTTACTATCATGAAAGTGACTTAATTTAAATGAATTTGGATGTATTATGGCACAAATTTTTGCTTTCTATAATTTGATACCTTTTTCTGGGCAAAATGATTCACATCCTGCTCCTGCGTAAAGGTTTGATTCAGTTTTTCCAGGCTTTAAATGAACCACTTTAACAGTTTAAGTCAGTTAAGAGCAAGTCATTCACTGGGAAGTTAATAAACATTGTACAGGAGTTTTTCAATACACTAAAACTGATCATAAAAGTTCAACAATAAAAGTTTTTTTTGAAATTCAAATATATTCATGACATATGCTCACATTAGCAACATTCAGCACCATTATTCAGCTCTAAGTCACAAGCAGCTTGGTGAATAGGAGGTCCACTCATAAACAACATGAGAAAAAGAGGTGACCAAACCCTCCCATCCAAATATTAAACACTTGTTAATAACTTTTCCGGCCCCACAGCAGAACTTCTGTCAGGATGGATAAAAAGGCCTGAAAAGGACTTGTCTCTATGCTAAGCCTTAAACTGCTGTGATTGGAGTGAGGGACAAAGACAAGCTTTTGTTAAAAAAAGAAGAGAGGGGGGTTGATTTATCCAACACTTTAAGAGACCCTAATGAATAATTCAGTGTTATCATTCAACTTGATGCTCAATTATAATGTTTTTCTTCTTTCTTCACACGTGAGGGACCCTGGCAGATAGGGGGTATCATGCAGGGGCACATAGGGGGAAGTAATGCGTGCACAAGGACAAAACAAGAAGGCTGCAGTGCAGTCACTCTGCTGTCAGCTTGATAAATATAATGTGTCACCAATTAAAAACTCATTGCCATTCTTTAATTCAGCCAAGGCCTTGTTAACCGCAGCCTGGCAGGGAGGCTGCCGGAGTAGCCACAGCCTCTGGGACCAGCTCGACTATAATAGAGGCTCCTGCTTTCCCATCCTTTTAAAACCATGGCCTTTTCCATTGGCATGTAAATAAGACATTCATCCGGCAGCACTTTTCTGATAGAAAAATGACCATCGATGTCTTTGATTATCATCTTTTTTTTCCTGGGAAAACAAAGAATTCTATAGTTTCACATTTTATTCAAAAAACCCTTTTTGGGCTTTTCTTTGGGACCATTCTCATGGTAATCATGTTGACTCAACTTTGTGCAATGTGGCTATACAACACATATGAACCCTAGCAGGAGTCCATTACAGAAATACTATTTAGCAAGCTGTTTCTGTGAGAAAGTCAAACGTTTAAGGGGCTTTTTGTGCCAGTTAGGGACAAGGGTCTCCGTGGAGCAGCAGGAGTCCTTTGGAGACTTCACTGAAACTAAAGGCCTCTCAGGTCTGAGATACTTCCCAGCTGAAGTCAAAAGTGTTGAAAATGCAGAAAAGCAGGTTTTTTTTAACAATGCCAAGCTCCCTGTCAACCATGACTGCTGTGCTATTTAGCAACTTTCTGCTATGACAATGGATAAGTAGATGTCACTAACCTTTCCAGACACATCTGCCCAGACAAAACTATTCTTTAGACCAGCCCAAGAGCACCAACATTTCCAAAAGTACACACACACAAAAAAAAATGTATTCATCACCAAACTACAACAGGGAAGAACTTGGCTAACCCAAACTGTTACAAATCCCTGTTTTATGTCTGTTGAAGCGGTTATTTACTTTGTTTCATTTCAGTGAAACCAAACCAAACTGCAGTGAATAATACATCAGTCCTGAAATGACCTTTTAACCCTCCTTAGGGTCCCCTAGGGTCTGCACTGACCAGTTTTTGTTTTTAAATGCTTAAAAGAACCACTTAAATGAGCTTTTTTGCATCAAGACTTTATGACTTTGTCAGGAACCTCTATTTCAATAAAATCAAAAAAATTAAACTGACTAAATTATAAAATGCTCTTATTAAAATTATGGCAATTGTGTTAGGGTCGCTGTTGATCCGGTTAGATCAATATCAAATGATAGGAGCAAAAACTGAAATCATAGATGAACTGTCAGGCACCACACTAGCCACGTTTACATGCAGACTTTTTTCTCATTCGGATTATAATCATTCCGATTGAAGCTCCCAGGCGAACTGTTTACATGGAAGCGATCTATTCTGATCTGGTGTTTACATGTGCCACGGCATTCAATCGGAACAGCTATTTACAGACACGTGATACCTTCAAACATCACGTGATTGATCAAAGATGGAGGTCTTTCGTCTGTTAAGCAGAGTAGTAGCGATTGTTTTTTCACTTTTATTAAAGCAACAGCTTTGTGTTTTCCTACCGTCTAAGCGTGCGACAATGTCTAGTTCTTTGAGAGTTTGTATCAAAAACAAACTCTCCGACGCAGACCAGTGCATCGTGCTCTGCTTGGAAGCCGCCATCATGTTTCCATGTGAGTCATACGTCACTGCTTGTTTACATCAGGACAGAGCATGCGCAGACAGAACCCAGCCTGACAACTTTCCGATTCACTGTTTACATGACAGGATTTTGCTTTTAATCGGAATGGGAAAAGGAAAATTCTACCCCTGTGAATCGGAATGAAATTCCATTCGGAATGGGCCTGTTTATTCCGAATGAGGTGTTTATATGGAGCATTTTCATTCCGATTGGGCTTCTAATCCGATTATATTCGGAATATTTGGCTCCATGTAAACGTAGCTACTGACAGTCAGATCCTCTTCCAATCATGTGAGATTTAGGAAATTCTCATTTTGCCATGTTTTTCCCTGCACAAAAAAACATCGGGCATGTCCAGACATGTTAGATCAATTCAGTATAGATGTCTGTATGAGGGGTAAACTGACAAAGAAAGGCCCAGAGGACCACAACAAAAACTATTATAAGCAATATTTTCATAGATTATGAAGCCTAGCAAGGTAACCGAGAGATGAGAATCAAATTGGATGATAGAGAATTGTTTTTAGTGTAATTTACAGCTGATTTAAGACACAGGTTGAAACCGACCCTTAAAATGGTGGGTGCGTAGTAAAAGTTAACACGGGAAGAAGGTTAAAGGCATTACTTAAACTACTCAAGTATCATGATATATTTCTATGATGGTCTTTCAACTTATTTATCATTGCAATATTACTGTATCATGATATAATCCTGGTGGGCTGCATATTACATCATATCCTGTTGTGAGTCATTCAGCATAGCCACCTGTAGCTAGGCACTGACTAGAGGATTAGTTTAAGGACTATTATGGTCATGTTTTTTTTTGTGACTGGTCAACAAATAACAAAGCAGCTTTAAGAGGTGCAGTCTGACATTTTATTGTCATCACCCCTCATTAATGCTGATGATAAACCATGATCATAATTTGATTTATTCCAACTACAGGATTTTGTTGCATTTAGAAATAATTTGGTCAGTGGTGTTGCATTAAAACAACGCTGACTTTGAAAATGGATCCTATGTGTCTGCTCTCTCAGCACTGAAAGAGGCTGGCATGATTTCAAAAAAACGTTAAGGAATAATTTCTTTATGATGTTGGAGTAAATATTAAGAGTATTTAGTTAAAGATAAAGGTGTAAAAAGACATTACAAAAGAATATTCAAGTGTCTGTTCTGTTTGTTGAGCCATCTCTGTAGTAGAGGTTACCTATTGTTGGATTTAAGCAAAATATAAAAAATAATAATAATAATAAAAATTTGAGTTAAGTGGAGATAATCCTTTGCTTTTACTTAATTACTAAATTAAGGTTGGGGGACTGTGATGAATATGGTTTATACTAGGGCTGATGACAAAACAATGTCATCCTTACTCATATGGTACAATACTTGCATGAGGTGGGTCAGATTCTCTTCTCTGACACATTTTGTATGTCACGCTGTCCTCAGCAGTGGAAAAGAATCCAGATTAGGAAACATTTCTGCGCTGAATTTTAGGAATTCAAAGGTCAGGCTATTTGTATTTCCCGATCTCTCATTAAGCACATTTGAAGAGCGATGCTGGAATGCAAAATATTCCATTGGACACATAATGAGCCGGGGTTTCCTGGCAACATTAAAGCTGAGAGGAGAAGATAAAAAGAATAAAGTATGAACATCCGAATGAGCTCAGGTCTCTCTCGCTTTAGCCTCCTATAACCCAGAAGCTGCCCCCCTCCTCCTTGTCTCTGCCCGCTCATTATCCCTGTCACACGGGACCCAGGCCCACTTGGCACAGCCTTGTGGACTTAATTGAATTAGACATACCCACTTGTTTAGGCTTTGTGTGGTGGCATGAGAATCTCCCAGCCATCTCCATGAAGGCAAAAGAAAAGAGCGGCATCGGCAGCACTTGTCGGAAGATCTAAGAGTAGGAGATTCTCAGGGATGGGAGAGTTGCTGCCAATCGATGGCCCACCAGTCTCCCATTGTGCTCGGCTCACAGCCAAATGCAGATGGGATTGGTCCATGGGTGTCACTTCAGTGAACCCTGTGGTGTGGAAATAAAACAAACTCTGAAAGTGTTTTTGAAGATACAGGTGATGTTATTCAAATGTAGTCCATGGTGCAGTGATTATGATGAAAATGGGCTCTTGAATCGGTCTGTCATATCAAGATTCAGTTATTCCACCACTTTCTGAAAGGGAAAAGGCTTACTGGGCTTTAAGTCTCTCTCAGATCTAGTAAGAAAGTTTAAATAAACACAAGTGATGGATATCTGGCCAGTATTAAACCCAGCAAGAGAAATCCTGTTCGCAGGGGCATGCTTCAAAAAAAGTGAAAAATTCTGCACTGAAATCCTTTCAATTATTTAAAATGCCAAATTCTACGTTTTATTGAAACTATGTGCATGCCGTTGTTTTAAAAATACAAACCATGAAAAAAGGTCTCTCTGAAATTGTATTGTCAGTAAAAATATGTGTCGTTTGTTTCTATTAGAGGACAAAGTCCACATCATCTATGTGTGAAAGTGACTTAGGCATCTTTTAATCCGTATGACTCTTGACACCAGCAGCAGCACTTACTGTGCCAGATTAACCTCCTGACATCCACCTTCTCCTGCCTCAGTCTTGGAGCTGACTTTCAAGTCAAGAGTCAGTCACTTTGTGATCACAGATTTCTCTTTCTCTCTCTCGCTTTTGCTCTAAAATGGAAAGAAACCTCCTCTAATGTGATTGCCCTCTTCCATTTATCCAGACTGCTTCTAAATGGAGGTGCTACAAGGGGATGCCTGGGTGCTGTCACTACATAACGTCACCTCCCTAACCCTGGGGGTCAGGGCCAGATTGACACCATAACCCACAGCCCTGATCCTCCTTCAGCCTCTTTAGACGTGCACCCGGCCAGCAGTAATGCGGCCTCCACTTTATTCATTTAGAGATCAGCCAAGCTGAAAAGGTAAGCTCTGAATAATTGGAGCCCACAGACCACAGAGAATCTGGTGGGATCTTCAAGTCTTTAACTTCGCCTGCCTCTCTTTTTACCCTCTTAAAGCAGGAGGACACCCCTTGTTAGTCTCAGGCAACCAGATGGGCGAAAGAGGAGTGGGATGATCTGTGGAGCTTTAGGGAGAGGGATGAGACTGGCTATAGGGACCTGTCACTCACGTGCAGGGGGAGTGAATGTGGACTTTAATGAATCCTCCACAGCCACCAGTGGACAAGACACAGCTCTGTGTTGACACCAGACAGCCAGACAGTGCAGCATCCTGCCTCCTCTTTATTCTGTCGGAATAAAAAGAGGCCTAGGGAGGCAAAGGCATGGTCTAAGACTGCTATCTTGTGTAGACATTAATTTTGTGTCCACATGAATTTATAACTCCTCCCAATCAAAGAAACATCTAAAATCATGTTTAAAAAAGTAAAACAAAATTTCCTGGGCACAAACAGAAGCTGCATCGCCACATAAATATCCCCTAAAGACATGAAATAGCTCGTTAATAGAGCAGTCAAATCTCTGTGGGAGGTACGACACTGGAAACAATAACATATGAACATGAGGCTGTTTGCTTCTGTGGCTGTTGCAGTTAATCATCACTCTGTCAAATTAGCATTCGCCCGGCCCTGCATGGAAGACACCACAGCAGATAGACAGGGCATCGTTAGCTGCACTGTGCAACAAAGAGCTAGCAATGGGGAAGCTGCAGCTATACTGGTAATGTCAGGTCCCAGGTCAGCTTGGTCCAGAGCCAGTGGGAGCCCACGCTGCGCTCTGTCTGTCCGCTGCTGTCATAACAGAACATGGAAGAGGGAAAGACAAGACCGGCTGCAGCCTCCTGAAGACACAGAGAAACAGGACCACACACTTACTCCTCATTAAACAAGCAGCAGTTTCTCCTTTTGATTCCTCCCTTTTACATGTGCTGACTTGGATACGCCAGAGGGGCTTGAAAAGTTGCTTTAAAATCTTATAGTGTAAAGGATTACATGTCCTTCACACTGCAACTTGTGGCCATGCTTTTTCACATCTCTGCAATAAATACACCAATTATCGCACATAATTACTGTTGTCTCATCACATCAATTACACTTTTCTCTGTGCTCTTGCCATATATCTGATGGCTATAAGTGTTTAATGGTAATTACAGCATACAGAATGCGCCCCTTCTTGTTGACTGCAAATATGATAACGTAAGTATGAGAATTACTTTTACTGAGTGTTGACAAGTTATGCAGCAATCAGAAGCAGATTAATGCTGAAGACTTTAGTTGGCCTGTACTTGAACAGAAACAAGACAATGTGAATCATAATAAGCCTGATTATTACAATAACAACACACACAGGACATGACTTTGAAGCACATTCAAACAGCGTACCATGCTCAAACAAATCTCCAGCCATCAAGTCCAGCAAAATATTCATCAAGTTCAGCAAAATATTTTCTCTACCAAATTACAGGGGCACAATGCTTCCTGTCCTAGAGACAGTGTCACCCATTGGCTCATTGTTTTCCATAAACCTTGTTTCCTGTGTTACACAGCATTTTTATGGAGAAAAAAAGTAGCTGATGGAAATTTGTGAAGCAAGATAAAGTAGAGAAGAGAGTTAAATCTGAAAATATTGTTTCCAAGTTTTACTGGGGTACATATCTGGCGACAGCTTTCTTGTTAATAAATAGGTTATGTAGATAAAAAAAATACATCAGATTAGCTTTTTGGTGTATAAAAATAATATAAAACTGACAGGCCATGATTGTGCTATTATTGTTTTAAAGAGATGTTCCACAAGGGCGAAATAACAATACTTCAATCAATAATGCACCACTGTCACACAGCAGTATTGTTTAACAGCATTCAACTTCTCCTGGATACAAGGATCATTCTGGTGGCTCTTGTTTTAACATCTTACACTTTTTAAGAGTCCTTTATCTCTTTCAACCATCTGACTTAAAGTCAGTAATGAATGACTTTGCACAGACAGCAGAAGTGGCTCCAATATTATAAATCTCTTCATTTAAACAAAGGCCAAACGAATAAAAACCCATTAAGATGACATGTGAATTGGCAAACAAACTGTTTAATTTGTGTCTGCTGTGTGAAGGGGGCTTTCTGTCCGTGGGCTTGGGGGCAACCCAAATTTACATCTGATTGGAGTTTAATGGTCCATGGCTGCTTTTAGTGCCCAGTCACTATGGCAACCAAGCTTTTCTCAAGATTTTCAGCAGACTCAAATGTCCTTTTTTTGTCCATTCGAAATGTGTCATGCGAGCCAAATGGAGCTGGGGCTTGTATGTATCAATTTGTTTCTGTTGCGAGGCCCACACTAGCCCTGCAATGAATATATGGGCCATTGAATCCCAACACACAATGGCCACAGCTGATGCTGTTGCCACAGAGAAACGCCCACACAAAGGGTCGGAATGATGACATATGGTCCAACCCTGCCCAGTTGGTGGACCCCCAATAGGCTGACTGCATTGATGGACAAAACCCAACGTTAGCCATTTATCCTTGCCTACTCATTTCATGGTAAGATAAACTTTCTATAAAGTTTCCACAGCCCATGCACAAGAAGTAAATGGCTGGTGAAAAAGCCACCATGTAAAGTGGGGGGTATTCATCATTAAGTGATTAACAAAGGCTTCTTTACCACCTGCTTCTACATTAATACGGACATTAAAGGCCCCGCTTTTTGTTTAAAGTGAAAGAGAGGAGATAGAGGAAGAAAGAATTAACTAAAAGACCTAATAGAAAGAACCATATGTCAGTACTTTCATCAACTGATCCAACACCCTCTATGTGACCGTAACTTTTAATTTCTGGTGTGCTGTAGTTAACTTTTCTTTCTTCTTTATTAAGCTGAGTTTGGGTCTGCTATTTTTCTACTGTAATCATATTTAAAAACAATACATAATACTGTTTTCTTGCAAGCTTTATACAAACTGTAAAATTAGCTGTGAATCCGTAAAAAAAAACTGTACGTTTTTTTGTAAAACATATCTGATTTTGTTTGCATAAGGGGACAACACACAGTGTCTGTGGAATGATTTTATATCTTTATGATCACATTCTCACTGCGTCAGAAAATTTAGTACTAACAGCTTCTGTCTATAATGACCTCATCCTATTCTCCAAACCATCAGCCAAAAAACTATATTGAAATTCAACTGTATATGAACGAGATATCCAGCCCACAGGGCAGACTAAGAGTTGATTATAACACTGTTGCAGGTATCAGAATCCAGTATACCACTGCACATGGATGAAAAGAAAAAAAAAATTAAGTGCTGTTTTCTTTCTTTAACATCTATTAGTCCTTTTTGACTTGACTGCATCCTATTTAACCAACGATATCACGTTGTCACCTCACGATTATCGCAGCCATAAAATATCATACAAGTGATTATTGATATATTAATGAAAGATGTGTAATTTAAAATAACAGAGTAAGAAAAATTGAGGAAATACAAGACAAGGAAGGAGCTACATATTTTAAATATGCTCAGATATCTTAAACGCCAATAATATTATTCATAAACAAAGCTGACTGAGATGTCATCATCTATTTCCAATTATTTATCCACATCACTGACTGTGAAACCTATATTCTCTTAAAGACATTGCCTCATGAAATGAGTGTTTGTCATGCTTTTACTTTGATTTATGTTTTGTCTTGTGTTTAGGTTGCTTTATTTCCTACATCTGAAAGCTATGCTTTTATTTTGAAGCATAAGCTACGTTATACATAGTAAATTACATAATTGAATAAAAACAGTTAAAAGGGTGGTCAGAAAGTATAAATGTTTAATTACTTAGTAACCCAAAGAGGCTCAAGCTCCAATGTTCCATTAGGGTTGAGAAAAATACAACAACATTTCAGTAATTTAAAAGGGCCAAATAACCTCTAGAGGGCGAATAGCAGTCCGCTGCCTCTTTTTCTTTTAACCAGCGTAAAGGACCTCAACTGTGAACTCTCAGTATAACCATATTTTTAGCACAACATCAACATTTAATGTTTTACTAAAGACACGTATGGTCATTTCCAACAGCCCTACTTAATATAGGGGTCTGATTGAGTTCCTACCTTTAAGTATAATGAGTCCATGGTCAACTTTGGGACTGTGTTCTACCCCAATATTAAGTGAGCTCCTGAGCAGCAGTTTAATTTGAAGTTTAATATTTGCAGTTGCCAGGAGAAATGTGGAAAAGTGGGAAACAACTACTGGTATAGTCTGACATTCCTAAGCAGGCTATTTCTAGGCTTTCTGGATTTCTGGCACGCTGAGGAAAAACAACTGAGGTGGTTTTAAGATAAAAAGAGGGATAATCAGCACAGTGATATGAACACAAGCTCGGCAAATGTTTGAAGGGAAATCCCTCAGAGAACAGGCGTGAGGTTAGGGGAGGTCTAATTCCATTAGGGAAGATAAGCAGTGTGTGAACAAGACATTTAACGTTGACCTATTTCATTACTCACTGCTGAAATATGTGGTGATGTCATCACAGGCATAGCAGGGGGGAGTATGGGGTCAACCAGTCACTTCAGGCTGTGCACATACTCTTTTTTCACTAGCTCTGAAAACACCAACGCGATTCCACTCAACTTTGAGTTAAGGTGAATATATTTGTTAAAAGGTATGAGATGTAAACACTCAAAACATGACAACAAAGAAATTTTGGGTTCAAACTGTTATAGTTTGTGTGAAGAAGGTGATAAATCTGTTCAATCATGTTTTCACTGTTTTGCCTTAGACGGTTGAACAACTGTGGTAACCCATTTTCAATTTACAGAGCACCATAACTTTGCTTCTCTTTCCTGAACTTTCCCACCCTGTGGTCCCACATTTGACCACAGAGAGCTAGTTTGTGCAGGTGCAGCTTGTTCTCAGGGGGAGAACCTCTGTTAAACCGGGCAAAGCCATTGTTAGTGAAGGACAAGTGAAATGGTTGTATTTTTTGTATTGAGTATTACATAGAGAACATAGTCTTAATCAATGATGTTACGTTACATGTAAAAAACAGAAAAATGGTTACTTTACTTTAATATTACTATGAATAAATGGTTGTCTAAAAAGAGTGTTGGTTGCAGCCCTTAATTACACAGTTTAATAGTTAAGTTTTTAGTTATATTCTTGAATATTTTTACAACTGTATCTAAAAATGTTTAGATCTGTCTCTACTTACTTTAAAGTACTCGAAAGATTTCCATGATACTGCACCACAGACACTAACATCCCTCTTAGGCCAAATGAAGCTCTTGAAATGCTAAATTAAAAAGTGATCAGATCTTTGAAGGCAACCTTTTACTGTACATGGTGTTTTTAATAAATTCATAGACTCAATTTAGTGGGGCCAACTTGTGATACCTGAGTGTACTGCCAAAACACTAAAGGAGCAGTCAGATATTTTGATGAACACTTTTAGTTGCGTTACTGATACATGGCTATAAATTACACCCCAAATGATTTTAATAGTGTTATTTATTTACTTTATTTATGGTGTGAGTGTGTTGTCTTTGTTGTATATAAGGATTGACTTGGAAGTGAATTAGCTTTCTGATCTAAACTAATCAAATCAAATTTAATCTCAACATCTGGCACCATATTAGAGATAAAATGTAAATATATCTTACATTTGTTTGGTTTTTGATAGCTAGCATGTTCACATGTAAAAATAAGATTTTATTGTACTCAATGTACAAAGCAATTTTAGGTTAACAGTAGTAATTTTAGCATGTTAGAATACAGCTGCTTGTATTTTTCTCAAATCAATACTCTGTGTGAGAATAGCCAGATAGTGGTGCTAACTTGGCTAAGGACTCTTGGTAAACACACACACACACGCACGCACGCACGCACGCACGCACGCACGCACGCACGCACACACGCACGCACGCACACACACACACACACACACACACACACACACACACACACAACCATAAATATAAGACGGGTCAAGCCGATGTGTCACTCCATGTCAGCTTAGGTGACAGGTTTTGAGTGAGACCCGGAAGGAGATGATACTCCGTTTGATTCGGAAGTGACAGGTCCTTCTGGATATGACCTGTCTATTCCCCTGATTCACCCCAGTCATCCGCCCGCCTGCTCCGTGCATGGACGCCTCCTTTGACCGCTGTCAAAAAGAGAGACCTGGAGGAGAACATTACCCTGGGAGGTCAGAGACCCCTGAGGGACCTTCTGAAGCCCTTTCAAAATGCGTTAGCACACGGTGTCCAGACCAGACCACTTCTTCGCTGACACACAAATCTGGGGCTGTCAAACCAAAAAGAGAAGTTTAATACACCATGAAATTTCAAATCAAATAGAGGCTGAGCACACGCCTAAATCAACCTGGACTGTAGTATGATACTCCAGCATCTTCTTATTGAAGCCTTTCACTGAAGGGTCCTGATCCTGGTTTAATATGACATAAATATGACCCCACACACACATCCTTCCTGTAATGAGCAGACTCAGATTCCCACACATGTGCACGAGCATACAGACCCCACCCTTGGACCCCACACTGCACAGTATTATGCAGAGCTCTCTTGAATTCACACAGAGATCTAAAAATACCCGCGAGGGAGGAAATCCCCACATTCCGCAGCAATGGACCTGCACTACAAAGACATCCAAACAATAAGCTTCTCTCCAACTCGGAATCAGACCAGACAATATAGGAAGACCGAGGCATCAGAGAGTTGTTTTTCTCGGATAGACTGTTGTGTCTAGGAGTGTAAACCTCTGACCATCGCCACTGACTCATGGCAACAGGCCATGTTTGAAAGAATGGGCTGCACCATGGGATAAACACATACGTGGAAACCAAGCTGCGTTCACAGAAGTATCCATAGACAGACAGACAGACCTACAGACAGAAGATGATAAAGGAATGAAAAACAATGACAGCAGTAGGTTATTATTTCATAGACGCTGGCTACTTCAACAAAAAGGTCAAACTTCCAATCAAACTTTGCTCTGGTTAACAGAAACAATGTCACAATAGAGGAGGCTGATATCCAGCAGGTGTCTTATTCATGAGTCAGCTTGTCAGAGTTTATGTGGTGTATAAAGCAAGGGCCAGAGTCACAAGAACCCAGAAATTAGACAATGATAAATGAATCTTGGGGAAGCTGTAGACTGATATCATAAATGTTATATTAAAGCTTTGCCTGCACAGGTTTTGGAGGTGTAATTGTTAATTAGGTGATCTTTTGATATCATTTGAAATAAAGTGCATTTTAATTTTGACCCATCAACTGAGCCGTCTGAAAATTAGTAAGGTATGCGATTTAGCAATGGTGTCGTAATTTTCCACCATGACTTCAGCAAGTATTAGTAAGAAACTGTTGCACCTCAACTACAGTGAGCCAAAAGGCACAGAATAGTAAAAGGATGAAAAAAGATCTCCTTAATTTTGTTTTAACTGCATTGCATTTAGTGCATTATAGCTGATCGATGCAGGATTTTGGTGTGTGACCTGTCTGGTTTTTAACAGAATAAATACACTGGCCAAAAATGTCACCACCTAGATTGAACTAAGCAAATATGAAAGAACCCCTCCCATTGAATGATAACTGCATGGGTAATTACTCTTCAGAGCATAAAGACTGGACTCTGTAGCAATGGAAGAAGGTCGTGTGGTCTGATGAGTCCAGATTTACTCCATTCCAGAGCGATGGGTGTATCAGAGTGAGGAGAGCGATGGATGAAGTGATGCACCCATCATGCCTAGTGCCTATGATGTGGGTATGACAGATGGTTATACCAGGATTCATCAGGATGTGATTGTGAAAGAGTGGTTTTGGGAGCATGGGACATCATTCTCACACATGGATTGGCCACCACAAAAGTCCAGACCCTAACCCCACTGAGAAACCTTTGGACGTGCAGGAGAAGACTCTCCAATGCAGTGCACTGGTCGGACTCTGGAATGAAATATTTAAGTGTGTGACTTATTTTTTGGCTGGGCGTGGGTTTAATTCCATTACATTATCAAACAATGTTATTAAAATAAAATCTATTTCTTTCTTTCCTGAGAATGGTTATGTACAGCACTTGGTTGACATTAGAGAAAGATCCAAGTCTCAGTTAAATATGAAAAAGTCAACTGATGGGTAGGCACACTGTAGCTGTAAGCAAGAGGCTTTAGGCCCACCTCAGTTAACCCTAATCACCTTTAGTTTAGGTTTAATCAGTATTTCAGCACTACATCCCCCATCAACAGGCTTCAAAACTCTTCTGCAGATACCAATGGGTGGCATCTATACAGATTTGAACACCCAAAAACTCCTGAAAAATGCATCTCTATATCTAATCTCAAAGGCTTAAGATTTGAACTCCATCCGTTTCATTCCAAAACCAGAATAAAACTAGCAGACGTACAAATATTTGGCTGGATGACAATATATAAGAGGTAGTTACTTGTCCTTAAAAAAACATTACTGAAAACAAAACTCATACCCAGACACAAGGCTTCTACATCTATGTTAAAACAAGAATGTGCTTTGCATTCGGTCTACGAAATTTTGAAATCTGTTTCACAAAGGCAAAGGTTTGTTATCCTGTAAAGCACTGAAATATTTCCCTGCAGAGGAAACACAGTTTTCACAGTTTAAAAAAAAAATGACACTGTATTTATTAAGGGTAACTAGCACATGATAAAGGGGAATTATAAACTCCATCAGACTTACTTAACTGTGCACCGTGAATCTATAAGGCTTAGGTATGTGCTAATGTCAGTGTGTGACAGCTGCTGATCACGTCTCTCTCTCTGTTCCTCTCCGTCAGGTCGTCTTAATCACAGTCAGCTGACTCAGCAGGACTCAGCTCACATTCTCAGGATCACAGATCTCATTTAAACAATGAGGTTTAATGACTCGCACGACTTTTATCTGCTGACAGCTTGATGAGACGGGCTTTGTTGGACCCAAAGGATGACAGTTAATAATACAAGCTATTAATTTGCAGTTAGCTTTGTGGAGATTTTTTGGTTTTTAGCAGGAAAGTAAATATATTCTTTTCTTTCTTAAAAATGCCACCAAACCAGTGTCAAAAATGTCTGACTGATGACTTGAAAAATAATGCTAACCGTTCATCCTCATCAGAGTTGAATCTTGTGCCACATGTCAAGTGCTGTTTTCAAAAAGGACACTCATTTGATCATTGCTGCTCTTCACATCGATGTAAGATTTGTTGTGTGGTACTGAGTGTACCCGCTTTCATTTGAAATATAAAACCCTGGTCTGAATGAGGATCAAATAAGGCGATACCTTCCGCTTGATTGACAGCTTAACAAAGGCAATGGGGCAGAGTGATTTGTCAATGGGTGAAAATCAACACAAAGAGCTATTGATTGGCAGGAGAGAAAGGGCCAAAGGACAATGAGCGTGGCTGTGGGATCTCACCAAAGTGATCAATACTGGAGTTCTGCTTGAGGGAGCCATCCCGCTCTGTGTTTATACAGTCAGACACAGAGCAAAGATCACCTATTGTACAGCCGCAGTGGTGCTGTCAGTCAACGCAGGGCAACACAGCAGGGGGTAGGCCGGGCAAATGACACAGGAACAAACACACACGCATTGACTCACACAGACGTCAACACTCCTATCAGATTGTTTCCAGACCTCACAGTGGTTAGAAGTCTCACTGATGCACCTACAAGAGTTTTTTTATGACAGAAAATGTGACATTTCTCACAAGGAACCATGTGGTTAATTCAGTCACCTAAGCATCAAAGGTTAACCTAACATCAGCTGTAGCATGATCCATGCACAGAGATATATACTTTGGAGGTAACTGCTGCTACAACATTTACACTGGTACATGTGAAGGAATTTGCATGTAGCAATAAATTTGCTAATAATTTGCATTTATGGATACATTTTTCCACTTACAACCTGTCGTGTTTGTGTCAGTCTTTAAAGCAAGACTCAGTGACAGGAACGCTGCTTTTTGACAAACACATTTCTATTTTTGAGTTTTATTGAGCTTGATTACATTAGGGAAGAGGACCGAGATAAAGACCTAATTTATCCACTTCACCATCCTGTTAACTCTTTCAATACGTCAATGGCATTGAAACTAGAGAACAAATGCAACATCACCCCTAAACAAATAAAATACAGTAAAGAACAGGAAGAGACAGAGACAGAGGGCATCAGTGGGAGTCACACATCCACACGCTCACAAGAGGAGAGCTGAATTACAAGAATAACATGCTACAGGGTGCCCCTCGTGTGTGTTTGTCCTGTCCTAATCTTATCAACATTGCCATGTATTTATCATGAGGCCCACTCTCTACTTTGGAGAGCAGAACACGGCTGGAGGTGAGTGGGTCGTGTGGGACGGGTGATCCATCTAAGAAGAGAAAGAGAGACACAAACTGAGCCACAAGGCAGCTTCAGTCAGTGTTTACCTCCTGTCAGTCCTTTGTGTAGTTGCACCAAAAGGCTGTTTGTCATTAAGATAAGAATATGCCAGAGGGATGAGAGATGTGTGCAGGAGAATTGGGAAGTGTTGATGGATTATGTGTCTTCAAATTTCCTGGTATATCAGTTGTATATTTTAAACTGACTAATGCTTTCTTTACAGCATTTTTCTTAAAATCAACATGGATTACAAACACTTCATTTTCCTTATCTGTTTTTTACTCATTGATGCTTTAAATAAGGTTTTCGTCTGACAGGTACACCTTTGACGTGCCCTTTATGTTAAGATTGCTTTATTGTATTCTTTGTCTCAGTCTCATGCTTACTGGTTAAGAATCTTCACTTACTAGGTCTGTCCCCCTTTCATATAAATTTTCTAATAGTTCAGTTAAAAAAGCAGAAAAATTCCTGAAGATTGCGTGATCAGACTTTAAAACTTTTAAAAAAGATCAAGTGAGGAGTTTTTAGCTGGTTATAAAAAGCATGGAACTAAACATGACCTATAAAAGCAGAAGAGATCATCGGCTTGAATATTCATTGTTACTACATGGCTTATGTGACTGCCTGTAAAATCCACAGCAGGTAAAGGTGTTCGATGCGGAAGTGAATGCATGCTGCTGAAACAGCGTTCATTTACATTTTCAAGATTCATGGAAAGTAGGGGTGGGATATTGTTGCAGCACGGGAAATGCATTTCTACATGCTACAAACTCATTGATGCACAAGACTTATATGTCAGAATTTCACAGAAGAAAAAACCTGGAAGATGACTGAGAAAGACTCAATGGAAGTCACAGACAGTGATGAGTATTAATGTCAAAACAGGTTTTTTAATTATGTAAGTTTAAGCACAAAATGTGAACATGTATACAAACAGATGTTGATTTTGCCTGTCAAACACAAAGGTGTGTCTCTAGTTGAAATGTAACTTTTTTATGAATGTTTTTGAGGCTTAAACACTTTTATTCAGAGAGCGTGGGAACAAGAAATAGGGAGAGAGCACAGGAAGCATGCATGTTCTTCAGATAATCGTACATTAGCAAATATCGCTGCAAGACTGTCCTGCAACATATTTTAATCACATCTTATCTAACTAGGAAAACCTCATTGAGATCATGATATAATTGACGACAGTGTGCTGATTATTGCACTGCTATTGTACAAGGGTCTTATCATTACTGTGTCGTGTAGAATTATGTCATACTGTATTGGGAGTCACACAGTGTTTTCCAGCCCCTACAGTAGCTGTTACTTTTGACTGTATAAAAGTAGGAAGATACTTTTCCACAGGAACACTCATGCATATAGAGGTCAAGACCCGCAGAGAATGACACACTGCACTTTCTAGGCTCAATAAAGTCAACACAAACCAAACGTTCCCCACAGCAGCTGTGGTTTTCATTTTGTACAGCTGGCTGAAAAACGGGCACTGAAAGAGTTCAGGTGTCTCTGCAGTGTAAGCAGATTTAGGTCCTGTTACTTTAAAGACCTGAACTGTGATAGATCCTTTCTTAGTGAAAGGTTCAACTGGTAAGACAATTTAGCAGAGCATTTTGTCCCAGAGGTGTTTTAAAATGGAATTTATTGCTACTTCAGCTGTACAGATACTGTATCTTGTGTTAGTCATGTTGGACTAATGTCTCCAGGGTGTAGACATAAAGGAACAATTTGTTGCAAGTCTCTGAGTGTTTGTGTGTGTCTGTGTGTGTGCCTGTGTGTGTGTACCCAGCTGCATCCTGGGCTCTCTTTGCCCATTCTCCGGGCGCGTTTGTTTGGAATGAGCCCATCCACTTATTGACACTTGTCTCCCCTGCCTCTTGCATGACAATCCAGGCAATAAAACCATGAGTGGAGCACACACTGCTCAACAGTTACTATAAGAAAAACAAGAGCAAATAGGATGAGTGTTTACCTTCCCAGGGCATGAAAAGAGGCAGAGAGGGCAGAAGAAAGAAAAAGAAAAAAAGAGAGAAGAGCTCATCTCATAACTCCAGCTCTCTACCACACGCAGTGCAAAGACAAAGCGACATGCACCAATCACCCAAATGCATTTCTAGTGTCTGTCGAGCATTTTCTGTCATAATACATGTGTTGGCAAACTCCATTTTTAGAAGGGGAAAAGTTGTTCTAGCAAAATGTAAGGTTCAGGAAGATCCCAACATTAAAAAAGGGATGGAATCTTTTCAAGTCGTGGTCACATCTGTTTGAAGGATTTTCCCCAATGTCCACAGACACAGACACAGAAAGAATAGCCCGTATGAGAAGGGACCAGACACCAGGACATCCTGTTCGGTCAACAACACCCCCCTCCCTTCAGGACTGAAGTGATAATTCTCTTACAACAGTGCCGCTGTCACCACCTAGCTTAGCCAGAGTCCAAAGAGGACCACAGGTCTCAGTACTGTGGGATAGCTGCTCAGGAAATACAGCTTTTCAACACCTCTTGAAGTGGAATATCCTTCTGTCAAATGTGCTAGGATTTCATTTGCTAAAAATAAAACAGTTTCCTTCATCTTCTGGTAATAATCTGCAGGGAACATGCAGAACGCGAGCTTTGCAGTTTTTGTACTGTATAGAGAAAGTGACTGGAAGCATTAGAAAGCCAAAGGGAAATTGAAGTTGCAGGTTATGTTCCAGTTACAACAAAATGGTATTTTAAATCATTTTGACAGATGTTAAAATGCAAATGATGACAAAACCAGCCTCTGAATACAACCCAAGGCTCAGATATAGTAAATTATTGTCAGGCATATCTGTAGAATGAGTGATTCATGAAAGGCAGCATAGCATACCCCTCTTCAGAAAGTAGAGATCTGATATTTTATAGTTTTATCTTTGTTAGCTTCACTGTCAGAGTTAGAGAGGCCGTGGTGCATTAAAATGGCCTTTTCTGTTTGGGATACATAGCATTTGCTCCATCAAAGAAGTGATTTTCAGGCTTGACCACAAACATTATGGATCATCTGGTGTATTAAAGGGTCCTGTTTGTTCTGTAAAACAGAGAGTCTACATTAAAAACTGATGAGTCAGAAAACTTACCTTTAGTGGGCTTGAAAAGTGGCTCCTCAGAGTATGGAGCAGGCTGTCTTCGAGTAATAAATCATAGAAACTATGACTTCAAAAGTTTCAAGACATGCTCTGAACACCCTGAAAGAACAAATAAAAGGGAATAAAACAGGTGTTACATTTTTCCACAACCTAGATCAACTGACAAGCCGAAGTAGTGCTGCAGGGAGGATCTAAATTAACATTTAATTCAGAATTAACATTAAACATAACTTAACACACAGTAGGTGACAGATAAGCACTGTAGCTCCAACCATCCTGTTACTGTATGAAAGGGATCGTACTGACAAGTGGAACATTAACACGCCAAATACCGTAGGCCTACATTAAATCTCGAACTAAACAACACAGCATCTTTGCTGGCATGCAGAGTCTTACCATCTTATTAGGCAAGACTAGAAAATGTAACATACGTTTGCACGAATGACACTGTGTAAACTGTTTCATATAAAACAACATTGTTTTCCTTTTTTCAGGCCATAAATTAACGACTCCCTTCGGTATAGCACGATTTCCGTTTTACTGCACGTGAAATGTCCTTCAAAATAAAAGCACATGCCTTGAACCTTATACATCAACTACGTAAATACACAATTAGCCAAGCAAGTAGGGTCGTGATAGACTAAATAATTCAGATTTTTAAAAATTACACTACAAGAAAAGACTTAACAGCTTTTTTTATTGCTTTCTTGCCTTAATGGGAAATAAGTAAGCGTTTGAGCTTAAATTTGGTTTTGAAAGAGGGTAAACCAGGCTGACCTTCATGTCCCCCCTAGTGGCCAGGATCAGGGACACTTTTTTCCTTTTTTTTCTGCCTCATAGACAGCGAGCCAGACAGACCTGCAGGTGGGCAGGTAGACAGAAACACAGACACACTAGATTTCATTGTGTATACCTGATTAAATATTCAGAAGCTCATATTCATGATTGATGTGGACGTTTCATTTTCCAGTGAAATTTGAATCCAAGCTGTCAATCAGACTATTATATAACTCTTTGAAAGAGTTATGAGAATGACCCAGCATTATTTGAAATCTAAAAATATTCTAGAAAACTTACAACAAAAAGCTCTGATCAACACTCAAGAAGATGTACTCCATTTATTTATTTATTTATTTCGTTTAATACACTGTTAAATTTTATGCAGAAATATACATGCAGCACTAAGACATATCCATTCACATACACCCAACAATTCCAAAGAAGCACTAAAATGGCAATCTCATTGCAATCAAATTATTTGGATATTAGAAGTTAAAACGTTCATATTTATTAAGTAGCTCTTACTGCCAAGCCACAGTACTGTCAGGGGCCACCAGTGGGCAGCTGCTTTCTCTTTAGGGACCACTGTGTTTGATGTTCTCAACATGTCTCTTATTGAACATTATAAAGCAAACAACGGTGGCCTTTAGTCTGAATTTTAAAATAAGTAAATAAATAAAAAACTTTAATCTTGTTGCATCTGTCAGTGAAATGGGTCAGAGGGTGTTTCTCACACTGCTGTCTAACCTCACAATGCAAACATGTTAACACACATACACACACATGAAAGATGAACAGAAACAGAAAACAATAGTGATAGAAACAAGAAACAAAGTGGCATCTTAAAAATGGCATCTTGAAAGGGTATGAGTCAGATCAATGCTCATGATGTTCTCAGGTGTCAAAGTGGGGACAAGTCTGGGCATGTAGTGAGACAGACAGCCAGTCACTCTCAGACACACACACACACACACACACACACACACACACACACACACACACACACACACACACACACTTCGGTGATAAAATTTGCTTATCTTTTTGATATTATGGATATTAAAACTTGACAATGCACTCCATACTATATGACTTATCCTATAATTTTTTTTTTTTAATCTGTCATCTCAGACACAGTTTAACGGCAACAAAACATTTCTATGGTCATCACATAAAATCCTTAACCGTGCAAACACATTGTTAAGTCTAATGTATATATCTGAGTGTATATAATCTACATTTAGACCTCTGTATTCATAGATAGATGGTACATGCACCATCCTAATGATTCAGACAGTTGTTACATTTGTATCTTTGCCCTCTTCCAGGGGTTCCGTTTACCTCTGTGTTGTCTGACACTCTGCAAGTGATGTGTCCACTCAATGAGCTGCACCTGGTCCTATGTGCACAAAAGGTCCAGTGCTGACCTTAAAAGTGGGGGCATGTGGAGTGGGGCCTGTCTCTTGTCCTGTGTCTTGTACTTCTCAGGCAGAGGGTTTATGTGGTTGTGTTTTGTTAATCTAATCCCCAGTTTACTGTTATCAAATGACTAACTTTCTCATATGTGGATTGATAATAAACCCTTCAAGGCTTTTTCTTTGACCCTTTTAAATTTGTATATTGTTTGCTTCACAAAATATGTTCTTTATTGTTACATGGCTCTGTGTTAGGTCAAGTTTAAATTTTAGGCAAGATCTTTAACATTGCCCAATCACACATTTATCTGATGGACTGCTTATACTTTCTTAACACTGATTTTGTCCCACATAAAAGCAGCTACATCATTGCATCTCTGAGCTGTTTTACATTTCCAACATTAGGAAACCATTATTAAAGTATTTATCTTGGAAAGGACGAGAGGTGAAATAGAGCAACAGCTGCCAGAGCTGCAGGGGGAAAAGCAGGGACAAGTCCTGAGCAGATAAATACATAAATAAAAACTGTCTTCATTAGGGTCAGGACTTCTTTAAGGCCACCAAGAAGTCTGCAAGATGACCTCTCGCCCTGTCAAGAGGACCCTTAACTTTCTCCTGTGGAATCTGCACCAGTTGCAAAGACCTTAGGCCTCATGCCTCATGCCTTGAAACAGGAGAAGCTGCTGAAAAGCCAAACTTGGCTACAGAAATATATGGCAAACAAGCGGTGAGGATCAGGGGGAGCCCTCACAGCACCCAGACCCTGTGATATTTGATCCCATTTGATGTGTCCCGTGGCGTCTGCCCACCCTGCCTCACCTGCACACACCCAACACCTCACACCCGGCAGGGAATAAGTGCTCTCTTACTATAAATACTGAGACAGGATGGAAGCCTGGAGTGGGCCAGAAGAGTGAGAGTGTTCAAACATAGAAATGAAAACCTGTTAACAAGGTGCCAGTGAATCTGATGTGCTATGACACTAAGGAAAATTAAATAAGTTTGTATTGTTGCTGCTAACATGATTTCCTCTCTGAAAACCAAAGCCTAAAATAATCACAGTTAAATCCCACACTCCAGAGAAACATCTCTAACATCTTTCCTTAGTCTCAACACCTCCTGTGTATCATGTCATCCTTAGCTGCCTCTCCCTATCGCCCTCTGCGATTCTTAAAAAAACAGGTGCAAGGAGAAGTGTCCAGTTTAGGCAGTCACTCACAAACTGTCACACACTTAATGTTTGTTGCATACTCTAGCCCTGCCTCTCATCTAATATCAGAACCTGTGGCTAAAGCATGCAGAAAATGTCACTCTGTCCCTGTAGCTGCAGCCTCTTCAGATTGAGGGGCAAATATAGCCTGTCATCACAGACAGAGGAGCTCTCAAACAATCCAAGCCTCCTTTCTACACTTAAATACAGACTTGGAGGACTAGCTGCCAGTGTAGCTGCTTCTGTATGTGTCCATATAATGACTTGTTGATTGATTGAAAGATATAATCTCTGTCTTATTTTTTTACTGATTATTTGGAAATAATCAGATAAAATTACATGATTACTTTGGTTGTAAAAAGTGTTTTCTGGCATCTAACAATCACACCATCCAGATAAAGATATGAAAATGAGCTAATTTTACCAACAATGAGAAAAACCTTTTGCCTGGAAAGATAATAAAATTGGTGACTGGAACTTTTTAATGTATGGTAGCTGTTAAAGATCTGTCAACCGAAAGTTGTGGAGATAATCATTTTTTAACATTAAACCTGACTGAAACAGATGACGCAGAGCAATTGCATTAGTTCCTTATTTCACTTCAGTAAAGATCAACCAAAGCCTGGCTGGCATATGAAAAAACTAAGCATGTTGTGCGTATTACTTCTTACATTTCCTTATTTCAGAAACTTATACAGATGTCCTTGTTGGAGCCGCATAAGAATTATATAATGCTGGCAAAACAAGGCCCAGTGCAACAATAGCAGTTGTAAATTTGGAGGGAGATGTGATGTTAAAGGTTTGGCGGCAACGTGGTGCGCGCGTTCCTCTATTCAGTCGCTAATGAGAATGATAATTTGTGGCTCCTCTGATGACCCCTACCCCTCCTTCAATGGCGACTTCTCCCAGGGGACGTAATGGCGCAAGTCCCCGAGGGACATCTTGCCATCTATAGGAATCCTTTTCATCACCGAACAGGGATTCCCGCCTGATTCGATTGCTGCATGTTATCGAGATGATGAAGGCAGATATTAAAAACCCTGAGCAAAGAATAAATTTAGAAGTCAGAATTCAGCCAACCCACATCTGGATATTCGGTCAGCTTGCTGTAAACCCAGTGATACTATGACCCTTGCTCATGCTGATGCGTAAAAGTGCAAAAGGGTGAGCTGCTGGTTTCTGTGCGTCACCTCATACTGCCCTGTATGTCCATGACCACGGGGATTGCGCAGCAGCTTTCACGTGGTCGTGCCTAAATCCTGATAAAATAATTCTTAATAAAATTAGAAATATCTCAGTCATCTCCTTGAGTGTTTGGTGTTTTATCCGAGTCCCCCCAGGATCCCTCATGTTTACACCGAAAAGAGTTCGCTTCTTGGCGGCCACGCGTGTGTGTGTTCGCCTCCTCACCTCCGCCTGCCAGCGGGGATTTACTGACTGGCGCAGTGCCCGACCGCAGGCAGACTAGTTCGCTCGGTTCTCACGACCTCAGCTCCACAAAGGCATCTCTGAACTATTAACTCAGACACGAAGGCAGTAGAAACGACCACAGAAGCCACACACGCTGCCAACTGGTGTTTCAGTTTGCCTGATCGCAAAAGGAAGCTGCTCCAGCACCAGTGGCAGCAGGGTTTCACTATGCCATTTACCCACGGTGTCATCTGCAGGGCACTGGCACGCAGCTGGGTAAAAGCAAGAACGCAACTACATGATTTGACAAGGCAGTTCAACTGTTCGATGAAAATAATTACGACAGGATGTGAAAGCTGCCAGTGATAAATACGTGGAGATTCACAGGGGCTACGTTAGAGAGCATTTATTTTTATTGTGATATGTCTTCTCTAGATGCTGCAAATGCTTGTTGCCTTTTCATTTCAATCCCGACCTCTAACCAAAGTATTTACATCAATTTCCTTTATCCTCCTTTTATTTGAGTTTATTAAAAATATTTTCTGTCTTAACACGACATCACAACAATATAGGGTCAGTAGAGGGGATGTCTCCAGGGTTTTGCGCTCCAGGTCTTACTCACATAACTTTTACGCACGCCAAGAAACGTGAAATGATTCTGTGAAATTGTTTGTGTATACGAGTAGTCTAGCAGGGCTGAAACACTTCAAAACTGACTTATGTTTGGCCTGTGGCTGCCATGCGCACCCGCGACGCGCCGCTGGAGTATTAAATGTTAAGGGGTTTTGACCGGGCTGAAACATAATCCCGAGCAAAGGGGCCCTCTGACTGCAAGTGTCTGACACACGGCCAGCGCCACGCCGACCAACACGGAGACACAGCTCTTAGTTCCGGACCCCTCTCACCGGGAAGGTAATTTACGCACAGGGATAAACAGAGACAGGGAGGATGGAGGGGGCTGAGAAAAGAGAGCACCTGACAAACTGTTGATCAAGAATTTAACAATAATTTAGGCTGAGTATTTTACCAGAGGGAGTGAGAGGGAGACATGGGCTGACGTTTTAAAAAATCCTAATGAAACTTTGGCTGAGAGCCTTCAGGTTTCGGCGCCATCATACAAACAAAGTCTAACCAAGTTCCCTCGTTTACTTCTTCATTGAGGTGAAGTCACACTGGGAGTGGATACGAACAATTGGCGCACAAAGGGACGTGAGGATCCTTCCATATTCTTCTTTCACTGAGGCAATCTGTTAGTGACATTAACCCCTGAGCGCATTTCCCAGGCTCTTGAATGGGTTTAAGACTTCTCAAAGCTCCCGCTGCATACAGGATGAGACCCCTTTCATACTTTTAATTACCTTCATAGCAATAGAAAGATACACCCCCATTGTCCCTTAGACCATTCTCCAGCAGGCCAGATGTAAGGAGCTCCCGCCAAACTGGCGACAAGGTGGCCACTTAAAACTTAACTGATACTGGAGTTTGTACATTGAGAATAAACTTTAGTTTCAAAAACTTGTTTTAGCTTCCTTGTCAGTCTTTTTAAGTGACATTCTAATTAATTTATTCCACTTATTCATGTGACTGTGACGCATGGACCTTCACTTTTACGCACGTACTCCAAACTTTGGAGTGAGCCTCATATTCCCCAAATAAATGAAGAAGAACATTGCAGAAACAGGCCGAACACAGGCAAGTTAATTTCTGTAATTTATTTTATTAAAACAATGGGCCATTCCCCAACTTCAGTTTTTTTTCTTTTGAACACAAAGCAACAAAGAATATAAAACACAGCTTTGGTTTAACAATCAATAACAACTCTGTACAAAACTAAACCTTTTCATAAAAAGTACTTCATAACGAAAATCTCCAATAAATCTTCCATTTGCATGTACAGCCTCATCACCGACATCCAAATGTTGGAATCTGGTGAAAAATAAAACAATATGCCATGTAAGGCAACTTCTGTTCCATAAAACGAAACAACGAAAACTCGGGGTCTTTAAGTGGTTGGAGATACAGTTCCAGGTTGACCCCTTTAACAGTTGTTTGTGCAGTCGGTGTAATGTCTAAGAGTAATGCAAATTTGGGTGTAGGGTCTCTTATCCGAGGCTACCAGGGTCTCCACACAGGCTCGCTGCTCTCTGAACCAGTGCTGACCCCGACCGGACTGACCGCCTGGGATCCCCCGGAGAAGGACGTCATGCCATGGACTGGTGATGCGGCAGTAGGTGCGGAGCTTCCATGCACCGGGCTGGCGTTCACCGCTACAGGCACACCTGCGTTTGCGTAAAGAGGGATGACAGGGGCTGTGGCGGAGGCAAAGGCCGGGTTGGGGATCAGAAAAGCGAACTGTCCGTCTGTTGCGGGCACCAGCTGGAATCCACCAAAGACCTTCGGAGATACGGCCTCTGCTGGACTGAGTTTGGAGCCCATGGCAGGGCCGCTGATGGGCAGGGTGGAGGGGAGCTGCACGTGAAGGGGCTGAGCAAGGTGCGCCTGCTGAGACGAGGCCTGCTGCGGGTAGTTCATTGACATCATCTGGCCCATGCAGCTGGACAGGTGGTTGAGGAGTCTGGATCTCACCTCCGTGTTCACCCCCTCAGAGGTGGAGAGGAAGCGGGTCACCTCGTTCATGCACTCGTTGAATCCGGCTCTGTATTTGCTCAGGACGGTGGCGTCTGCTGAGAGCGCTGCTGGAGGGAAGAAAGGAGATGTACATTAGTTGAGAATTACAGTTTCTTTTAGCTGTTTCGGGATGAAATCTTATTGTTTCATGACTTCTTTGGTGATCCAATAAACTTACCACTCATCTGGACGCGCTGAAGGTTCCTCAGGTGCTTCACTGTCATTTCCAGGATGTCTGCCTTCTCCAACTTGGAGTGTCTGGAGCTCTGCAAAGCGACATAAGAAAAGTTTAGTCCGTGCTCCAAGTTTTGAGACGTGCAGTATTATTTAAATGAAACTCTGATGAAAAGCAGTGTGATTTTTCCAACTTACATCTTTCTTCAGTGCGTCCAGGATGAGAGTCTTGAGTTGACCGAGACTTTCGTTAATTCTGGCTCTTCGGCGTTTTTCCATGATCGGTTTGGATGACTGTAAAAGAAAAAGAAATCAACATAAATAACATGTTCATCAAACATTTTAATCAGTTTGGGCACTACTTTTGATTTCATTTCAGTAAAGCGTGTTTAAAAGTATGACTTTATTTGTCTATAAAACGCAGAAAGTAATAAAAAACAACCAACCTTTCTATGCTCGCTGGCGTTTTTCGGTTTGTCCGGTGTGTGCGATCCATTTGCGGGCGCACCGGCGATGGCAGATGCCGTCTGCTTTTCCATAGTGTCAGCGGGCATTTTCGGTCGAAAAAGGCAAAAAGTTGAAAGAAATAAATCCTCTTTCGAAGCGAAGAAATAAGTTGAATCAAAAGTCTTGGGAAGTTTCAAAGCTTGGAGCTGAGCCGCTGCAGAACATGTATCAGATGCCCGCACAGTCACTCCGATCACTTCACGATCTGTCGCTTGTTATCACTGAGCTGTCATCTGAGTACAGTGAGCGTGCGTTACTGCGCGCGGGCCGACTCTCCGCATCTGCAGCTGACACACGCCGCGGCGGTACTTATAGACGCCTCGCGTGCTCCCAGTTCGTGTGAAACCTTCTCTGCATTCTTTCCCACACTCGCCTCAGCCAATAGCAGAGAGGACTCACCCATTGGGCGCGGGGCAGACCGCTGATTGGACAACACCCCCGCGGGCCGTCAGTCACGCGCTGCTCAATCAGCCCTGCAGGGACAAACAACAAAGCAGTGCGAGCAGCGGCGGCCGGGCCGGGCCGGGCTGTGAAGTGATAAGGGAGGGGAATGCGCTGGATGTTTGCTTCCAACTTTGCTCGTGCTCGTCAAAAATGTTCGTCTGCTTGGTGTGTGTGTGTGGGGAAGAATGTCGAGTCTGTATTGACAAAAGGCTTCTACAGTTTAGCCAGAAGCGAACTTTTGACAGTGTGTTGTTGAGGTACAAAACTCTTAGAGAAAATTGTGGAAGTATTTGGATAGAATTATATAACTTTTTATCTGTAAATTTACTCATGTCTCTGCTAAAGAGTATAATGTGTTGATAGTGCAGTTGTGTGGATGGTGCGCTACAAGTGTCACTTCTACAAGGATCATGTCTGCACAAATTGAAAGCCCATTCTCAAAATCTGTTCGTGCCAGCAGCAAGGAATCAAGCTTTCCTTCATTCAAGCATTCACATTTTCTTGGCTTAACACATAAACAAACACTTTTTCTATTAACACTCCGCTTGCGCCTCTGTAATGGCACGCGAGACGGTTTGCAGTAGCACGCACCGAGCCAATGGCATGAGGCCACTTTATGCAAATACAGCAGGCAGCGCTCTGATTGGCTGTGTGAACGGCTCTGTGTCAATCATCCAGGAGCGGGAGCCGCTCAAACAGGAAGGGGGTGGAGGGGTGGGGGGGTTACACATCTGTCCGCGTGCCAGTCGCGGTGAGTCTTCTCCGGTCTACGCGGAGCACGTGCCTTAACTCAGAGATTACAGCCTGTAGACGGAGGAGCACATACACAGTGTGGCCTGGTTTCTGTGATTATTACGATAAAGCTAATGAAGGGGATCTTGAAAAGCGGAACAAAAAACGAAGAAATAAAAATCTATGCTAAAGATGTTTTTGCCATTTTAACTGTACGATCTATTTTTCCTATCCCTTCAATATTCTCTATCAATATCCCTAAACAAAAATGTGCCGCTACAGAGTGATAGGTGATTTGATATGAAATAGCCCATATTTTCAGAACTTGATTGCAATTTTTGGGCTGCCTTAAAGACAAACTAACGAACAAAGAGTTAATCATTTGACATTTGGTTGATCACAGGTCCCCACCGTCTGTATGTGAGCGTGTCTGAAATCATTTGTCATTGTAGGAAATGAGCGCCATCTACCGGCGTACTGAAGAAAACTAAACCTGCTTCATGGGATCAATCTCAGGGCATTTAACAAATTCCACCAACTCGCACGGCTGTGGTTTGAGTTTTTTGAGTCACTGAAATTGAAACTGAAATCTCATAGCATGCCAAACGTGGGCGTTCATGCGTAAAGACCACTGAAGTACCCCAAAAAACAGACCGGATTTCTGAATTCAGTGGTATTTTGTAAATATGTTAATCTCTTATTCCAGATATATGAACAAATATAGTGTCAAAACTATTTTAAGTCAAACATAATCATTTAATGACACATTACATTGGCTATCTAAAAAAGACCACTCTGCTAATTATCAAACCCATAATATTAGTGCCTGTATGAATTCACTACTGTTACAGAAAAGCCATTCTCTTATCTTTCATTTTCTAAAATACTTGGAGATATAAAACTTGTGTTATTTAGCGTTATTGTTTACAATATGTTCCCATGGGGAGGTATTTCTTGTTACTCAAGGAAATGACTATTGGTAGGATTGAACACTTGCAGGGAAGACTTATCACAGTCCTGTTAAAGGCTGAGCCCCCTAAATAAGAAATTAGCCTGTTTTAATGAGTATTTTAAATTGTAGCTTACTAAATTCACCCATACAGCATATATCCTTACTAAACTGAATTTCTTACTGTTTAAGAGCTCATAAAAATCTGTGGTATAGCAATTACACTATACATAAAAGGGGGCTTACATTTCAGGAAAGGTAATTTAAGAACTGCAGGAAGGTTTTTTTTCTTATGTGTCTACTGAAGTGACCACAGGGTGGCACAATTGAGTCCAGCTATAATGAACAAGTGAGAGTCAAAGAAGAGTTGATCTGAGAAAATGACCAATTTAGTAAACAGTTTTATACCAGTGTATAGCTCAAGGAAAAAGTACTATGGATATTTTGTCCAAGTTACACTAAATCTTGTTGGAACCTGAAGTCAATCCCAGGACTACTGCCTCTGAACACAGGGTACATTCGTACACTAAAGCATTTATAAAGTATGATTTAATTTTTCTGCCCTGTTCATGAATTATTTTTTGCAAGTTAACTTCTTTATAGAGTACTAAATCTATCAAAAACCTAGAGAACTTTGTGAAACAGAAAAGGAAAGCACTGCTAAAAACACACCTGCTTTAATAACTCTCTAGATTAGCAGATGTAATAGTTGCAGATCACTCTTGAATCAGCAATCATGGAGACACAAGAGAAACTTTTTATAAGTGAGCAGCAGATTTCCCTGTTAAACCAGTGGGTGTAGTGAATCAATAAGAACATTACAGGATCTAAGAAGATGAAAATGTTATAATCTCACAACTGTTGACAAAGTCTGAGATCCTCTTTTGCTCTGCAGTCTATAGAAACTGACCAAATGTAATAAAATTTTACTAAGCCAAGCATCTGTCCCGTCTCTAGTGGAGTATCAGTCATTGTTCAGTAGCTCATGATGTCTCTCCATGGGTGAGCTGTGCTGAGGCATGCTGGACACTTGTTTACCAAGGATCCTGATCCTTTAAGGGCCAGCTGTGTGTGCTTGAGCTCACATTTCCTTTATTTGCTCCCCGATCAGCCCAAATGATGCGGATCTTATTCAACACACTGCTCCCTGCATCCGAGGATTTAATGGGATTTTGAGTTGAATAATTCTGCAGAGGTGAATTAGCACCTGTTGAACCTGATCTGAAGTCAGAACAAGTCAGACAACTTCTGGTATTTCAAACCCTCTCCATCAATAACTCACCCTCTTCATTCCTGCATTTTAAAGATCCCACACAACAAAGAGGGGAGGAATTTCCCCTCCGCTGAAAGAAACTTTTTGAGGGACTCCACCATAAGAGCATCATTAAAGCTGACGCCGACATCACAGGCTGGAGGAATGTGGAGAACAGAAATCACTGCTGTTTTTAAGAGTCTATCAGCATTCACCAGACAAGAGGCAGGAGCACTTTGCTTTTTGACTTAGCTTTATGAGCTACAGGTCTGCGGGGTTACATCAAAAGGCCCAGAAGGCTGGAGAAGCTGTGTTTGCAGATTTAGAAGAGTTCAATTGTCTGTTGTCCAGATCCCAGGGATGCTCAGAAGCTTCTTTTCACTGCCGCCTGCTTCATTCCTTGTTGTACAATGAGCCCATGCACTTCTCCAAATCCATGAGCAGAATGCAGAAGCAGAGTCAATTATATCTGTATTAGCTGGAGTTGGCCTGACAATCCTTTTATACACAACCCTCCGATTAAGTGCTGGTAGATGTGTTAACAGCCATGAATCCCCAACACTGAAGAGTTACAATGACTGTCTGGGTGGCTTTTGGTTTGTGTCAGACACTGTGGCCACTTCAGAGAGATAGAACAGGAAAGTGAAGAAAACAGGATGTTGCTAAATTTGTAAGAAGACCACATTGGTATACTGATCTGAATCTGGAGGTGCAAAAGATGAAAAATATGATGTCTGTTATTGAGACATGTTTGAAGAGACTTTTTGTCTTCTTAATCATGTAAGATGAAAATTTTCAGTAAATTAAATCACATTTCTTAGCACTTTTCTGGTAAGAAAATGTAGACACAAATAGTTTGATCAGCTCCAAATAAAACAAATATGGTACAAAATCTACAGAGATATTTCAGCATTATTAAAAATATTTTAATAGTATTTTACAGAGAAGCAGGGATAGTGAAAATCAGGGATATTCTCCTATTTACAGTGTAGCACATTCTGACTGGGATTTTTTGCATTTCTGCTTCAAGCTTCAAGTCTGACATCAATGCATTGTGGATGGGTTGATGTGTGACAACAGTGCAAATACTGAAACCAATATTGATGTTTAACTGGTACATTGGTGCATAAAATGTATTTTATCATGTTGTAACTTCCATAACTATAAGGTATAGAAGTATCACAGCTCCTGTGAGGAACTTTTCAATTTTGTCCATTTTGGCATTGTCTATGCACAAAGATGTTTTTTTGCTCAATTTGTCCTTCACATGTCTAAGCCATGTCTCCGGATGAAAAAACACATCCTACTGGTTTTTGATGGTCAAATCGATCAATTATTATAACAGTTATAAAAACAGCTGCTCGGCTGACAGCCCATAGCAGAGGTTTCAGGCATTAAAAATGACAAAATAAAAGATGTCAGATTTGTTGGTGATTAGTTTTTGTATGTCATGACAATGCATCAATGAGTTTTAGTCTTGTTCATAAATGAGTAAAAAAAAAAAACTAATCATAGGAACATTAAGCTCTGTATTCCTGTAGCCCAACCATATCTGCAAACTGCACTGAAAGAAATGACTGTTTTTTAATCTATAAGTTTGTGTTGATTTTAGCGCCCCTGTGGAAAAATTGGTATCTCTATTATCTCTCTATTGGTACTGTTGTGAAAAAAAAAGTGACAAAAAATCTCATTATACCTTGTTTTAAATGTGTTAAGTCCAACCAATGATAAAAATGTCGGCTCGCAACAGTTTTGCGCTGAAATTCCCTCACCTTACAACAATGCCTGGTAAGAGATTACAGAAATATAAAACAGAACAGAAACAGTGAATCTTCTTCCTGATGGTCCCTGCTTTTGTAGTTATTACAGCTACCAGTCTGTTTCATCATTAGCTAAAAATCCTCTGAGGAGCTTTAAAACCACAGATCCCCAGAAAAAAGTGAATTCTAAAAACATGCATAAACTCACTTAAGAGC